TATAGACTACTTAATAATAAAACTATTAAGGACTATTATTCTATTCCTTAATAGAATAAACTATAGGACCGCCTTTTAAGCGTAGTATAGTTTACCGCGTTAGATACTAGAAACGCCTATTATTTAATTAGAATAGCTATCGAAGAAGAATAGAAAACGATATTTCGAATAAGATAGGAAGTCTACGAATTTCTAGTTATACTTTTTAAACTTACTAATATACTATTAATATTCTAAGAATTTATAAATAATACTTTAAGAAAATATCTAGATATATTCGTTATTATATACCTTAATAATATCTTAATCTTCTTAAAGACTTACGAGAAATACGTAGAGTATATAAAAAAAGTAATAGAAAAGTTAAAGAAAAATAGAATTCTACTTAAGCTATTTAAGTACGAATTTTATAAGAATAGTATTAAATTTCTAGACTATATTATATCTTCGAAAGAACTTATATCGAACTAAGAAAAAGTTTAAGCTATTAATAAATAGCTAGAACTAACGATAGTTAAGGAAGTATAGACGTTCTATAGATTAATTAACTATTATCGAAAGTTTATTAAGAACTTCTCGAAGATCGTAGTACTAATTACTAACTTAACTAAAAAGGAAATAATCTTTAATTTTAGGAAAAAATATAAGAATACCTTTAAAGAGCTAAAGCGGCGAATAACGATCGCGCTAATTTTATATATTTTTAATCTAGAAAAAGAAGTAATTATAGAAATAGACGTCTTAAATAAAGTAATAGAAGGCTACCTTAAATAGAAAGACGAATAAGGAAAGCTTTATCTAGTAGTATATTATTTAAGAAAGTTAAGCGGATTCGAGGCGAATTATAATATCTACGATAAGAAACTACTCGTAGTAGTAGAATACTTAAAAATATAGAGAGTATATCTAGAAGGAGCTAAATACTTAGTATAAATATACTTAGACTATAAGAATCTAATATATTAAATAATAACTAAGGAACTTAATAGAAGATAAGTTAGATAGACTAAAATTCTAGCTTCTTACGATTTTAAAATTATATATATTCGAGGAATAGAGAACGTAATAGTCGACGCCCTTAGTCGAAGAATAGACTATATAGAAGGGCTAGAGCTAAAACTAGTAGCGCTCCTAGAGAAAAGAGGAAATTATCTAATATATAGAAAAACGGAAATAAGAATACTTATAACCTTAGAAGTAGAATTAATAATAGAATAAAAATAAAAAATTATATAAATAAAATATAATAATAAAAGCGTAGAATACCTAGGTATTAATAAAATAATCGAATTAATAATACGAAATTTTACCTAGATAGGATTAAGAAAGAACGTTAAGGAATATATTAAGAATTATAATATATACTATAAAGCTAAATACTCGAGATATAAACTATATAGCTTATTATAATTAGCGGAAAATATAGATAAAGTATAGTTAAGGATAGTAATAGACTTTATAGTTAAACTACTACTATCGAAAGAACTTATAATCGATACGATATATAATAGTATACTTATAATAAACGATATACTAATAAAGTATATTTACCTACTACTATATAAAGAGGTATCGATAGTAGAGGAACTAGTATACGTAGTTACGAGAATAGTATTCGCGTAATATAGAATACTAGAGGTTATTATTATAGATAGAGATAAACTATTTAATTTATAGTTTTAGTAATCGTTAATCGATCTATTAGGAATAAAATATAAAATATCTATATTATATTATCTATAAACGAATAGATAAACGGAAAGAACGAATTAGACGATAGAATAATACCTTCGATACTATATAAATTACTAGTAAAGAAATTAGGTCGAACTATTACTAATAGCTTAATTCGCTTTTAATAATAATATATCGGTAACGAAGATATCGCCGTTCTTTACGAATTATAGGAGGTACCTAGACTTTAAGAAAGAACTATTAGGCGATAGATCTATAGCGAAAAGGGTAAGGATAAAAGTCGAAGATCTATATAAATTATACTTTCTACTAAAGATAAAATTAGATAAAATATTAAAAGTAACTACGAAAACGATAAATAAAAAAAGATCTAAGGAACTAAACTTCTAGGAGGGAGAGATAGTTTATATTAATATAAAAAATATAAAAACGTAAAGACTAAGTAAGAAACTAGATTATACGAAAATTAGCCTATATCGAATTAAGAAGATACTAGGACTAGTCTCTTATAAGCTATAACTACTAGGAGGATTAAATATATATCTAGTATTCTATAAATCGCTATTAGAAAAGGTACTAGGTAGAGCTAGACTAAGACCGATATATATCGATAAAGAAACCTAAGAACTCTATTATAATATAGAAACTATACTCTAACGTAGGCGAGAGGGCCGCGAAATAAAATACCTAGTTAAATAGTTAGGATACCTAGAGGAGGAAAATACGTAGGAACTAGAGATAAACCTTAATCCGAGACTTATAGCTCGATATTATCGGACTATTAAATAATCTAAAGGAATAGAACCTAAGAAGTAGGCTAGAAAACTCGGCGATAGATTAAAGATATCTTTAAGCTAGGCGTTATCTATACTAACTAAGACGATAGAGGAAGCCTAGGGCGAGAAATCGATATAATCTAGCGCGTTTAGGATATAAGCCTCCTAAATAACTATTTTCTTTTATTTCTCGAGTAGCTACTCGACTTTCTTCTCGAAACGCTTACGCTCGGTGTTAGCTTAAGCGATAGAAGAAAGTAGGCGCTATATCTCTTCGCTCTTTTAACGAATTTCTTCGCCTTTCTAGCGAGCGACCTCGGCTAAACGGCTACGCTTAGCTAATAGAGCCTCGAACTTAGTATCGGAGAATACCCTATTATAATCCTTTCGGTTACTACGTATATAGTTATTATATCGCGTATAACTATCTAATATAAAATAGACGATATTTATATTCTAGTAAGGAGTATAGCGACCTATACTTTCGTATTTTCTTTCGAGGGTTTTAATTTTAAGCGCGGTGCGCTAACGGCGGATAGTAAAGAACTCGGAACGCTTAATAATATCTATAGGCGATATAGTTAGCTATAGGGAGAGAAGAAACGAAAGTATAGAAGGAACTTACCTTAAGTACGTTAAGGATAACGACTAGAAGGAGGGGAGAATAGTATTACGAACTAGGTTACTTAGGGAGTCGCTAAGGGAATTAAGGTACCTACCTAAGGAAGGAGGTTAGTCGATAGAGAACGAGGCTAAGTTAGGTAACTAGGCTAGGCTAGATCTCCTAGATCCCTTAGATCTTATAGGATCTCGGGGAATTTAGGGAGAGCTATAAGATCTAGGAGAGCTACTAGTATTATATATATACGCTTATTACCCTAGATAGATAAGTTCGTAGTTAACTTCGTTAGTAATCCTATACCTATATTTTAGGATATAGTCCGACGAATAAGTATTCCCTTTATTATCTTAGTTAATACTTTAATATCTACTCTATTAAGGAACCCTACCTTAGTTAGAACTACTTATAGCTCGGATTATAATATTATATTAAGATTAAATCGATATATATTTTCGCCTATTCTATAGGTTAGATAAGGAAGTAGGACTACGTTACTAGGAGTTCTCTTTCTTCTAGGATCGTAGAATAAGAACTAATCGACGCTAAAACGAATACTATAGTAGCTATAACTAAAACGATACTCTTTACTTATCTATATTAACGAAGGAATAGTAACGCTATCGATTTCTATAGTTTTAAGTCCGCTAAAGGACTATACTTTTAAGACTTCTCGTAATAGACGTATATAAAGCTATAATAGCTTTATTCGTAAAGGTTACTACTACTAAAACTTAGGCTATATAGTTACATAGCCGAACTCGTAGAAGGAAAAACGCTCTTAATTCTATAAACTATACTCTTATAACTACTATCTAATACTTAACGCCCGCTCGCGTACGTTAGGTTACTTTCTTTTCGTTACTTATCTATTCGATCGTCTCTTTCTTCCTTACTTACTTATTCTTCTATACTAAGGCCCCTTCTCACTTCTCTTATAACTAAGCGCCTCGAGCCCTAATATAATATTCGTAAAACTTTAAAAATTAATTAAAGAAGACCGGTATTAATACGAAGTAGTTAAGACGATAGTATATATACTAGTAAACTACCTAAAGTTAAGGACTCTAAGATAGTAGTTATAGAGGAAGGTAGGTAATATAATAGATAGCATCGTACTTATGCTCGGAGGGATATCTCGGAACGAGTAATTTAAGGTAATAGGTAGGTTAATTAATAGATAGGTAGTGAACGCGGTACTAGATTTTACGGACACATAAAGATTTCGCTCTAGAGTACTAGTAGGGTCTCGACGGCTAGACCGAAGATAAGGAACATAATATAGGCCCCAACGAGGTATAAACTTCGCTCATGAAATAGAACAAGTGTACGATAGATTTTCAAGGATAGCTTTAGTTATCGGCTCCCTACATATCCCTCGGGAGAGGTCAGGGTAATAAATAAACAAACAAACAATAAACACAATATCTCATGTCTTCAGTCGGTTAATTTCCAGTGTACTCGTGCGCCGCCATGGACTGTTTTGGGTCGTGGTCGCTCCACAACGGACCTGGCCTTGCAAGTCGTTCGGCTTTTCACAAACCACACCGTACTCCGATCCACCGCCAAAACCACTGCCTTCCCTGACAAGCATCCTTTTGATGTAAAACTAAACCACAGTTGCCAGCCTATATTGCAATATGAAGCTCCGAACACATTTGTCATCGCAATCTGATCCCGGTTTTTTGGTTGGATGTAGGTTTTGCTGTTTGAGCTAAAGAACTCCTCCGCTAAGAACAAAATGCCTGCGTAGCCGCTTTTTTTGTTGCTGATATTAATCGGAGCAATCGTCTTGGTAAATAAATCCGAAAGAAACCAAAAGAACAAATATAGATTGCGGGCTTCCAGCATCAGCGTCTCTTTGAAAATAAACTCAACTAGAACCGACTCCCTGCTTTTCATTATGCATAATGTTACCGGATGCTGTATATCTGGGAGTCCAGCACCAAGTTCGTATAACATTCCGAAGGCGGCCACTTTGACAGCGTGAAGCTGAGTATAGCCAACCATAGATAGTTACCAGCCTAAAGGTCGCGTTGCTCGTCTTGGAGAAATTGATGTATATGTCTCTGCGTCCAGCCAGCCAATTCATCCTCAGCATGTCCTTGTCATCCTTCCCGATGGATTTGGACATGCCAAGCACAATTTCGTTCTCGCAGACCTCTTCGCAGAGAAACTTGGGATTCAAGCTATGGTGCCCGATTATTTCAAAGGTTCGAGTTCCTTCCCTGGCGGAGTGGCAACTTCTTTATCCTAACAGATATCATAGGCGAGGGTCTTCCGGTGGAACTCCTAAAATATAGACGACAGCCAGGCGTGGCCATTGGTGACCATAACTGGCCAGAGGATGCGAAGAACACGATTCGCAATACCAATATCGAAGTGTGGTTGACGAGGCACCCCCATGAACGAATCGAAGAACTTCTACGAGGCTTTGTAGTCGCAGTTTACCAGATTGCCCCGAACACCACATTCCTCGGAATCGGTTACTGCTTTGGTGGCAAGTATGTCTTCACAATGGCAAAGGAAGTTTTTAAAGCAGCAGCGGCCTTTCATCCGGTAAGTCGTGACATTGTAGCGACAGTTTCATCTCCCAGCGGCTAACTTGGACAGAGCTTCGTGATACACGAAGACCTGAAAGGCATTCGGGTTCCTATATACGTAGGGTTAGCTGGGAATGATGTGATGGTCCCGGCTTCGCTTCCGGAGGATCTTAAGTCTTGGATACAGCAGGAGCAAATTCAAGCCATCCAGGAGATATACCCCAACATGCCTCATGGCTTTGCTGCTAGACCAGAAGCAGAGGATCCAGCGAATCGAGACCAGTTTGAGCGAGCCTTGAAGGCAGCGGTCGACTTTTTTCAACGGACGCTCGCCGCCTAAGCCACACCAGCGGCTTTTCTGGACCTTCAGGGTGTACGTACTCAGTTGTAAGTCCGGATTTCCAAGGCAGCTCTGTAGGCATCTTGAGTTACTACTGGACCTACAAAGGAACCAGAAGCAAGATTGAAGATGAATTTCCATAGCCGGAGAGGCAGCCCTGGAAACAAACGATTGCTAGAACCGTGAATCAGCGGGGTTTCTTAGCATGTGCTGCATTCTCCTAGTAGTATGAGCCTCTTGGTAGGCATCTGCATCAGATATAGAGAACGCTGTGCCCAAGCGAATCCAGTTAGTCTAGAAATAATCGGAAATAAATTATCGCTCGGCACCGTATTGTGATTGATTTGTTCATCGCATCAGACAACCTTGACTGCTAATTCCTGCCTTTGTAATATTTAATCCAGCGTCCCCCGCCATGATCAATGCTTTTCCTAATAAGATCCTAGAAAGCACTGATGTTAGCTTTTCAAAGACATCTGGAACGACTCTTGGCGCTGCCATCCGACAAAATGATCAAGCCTGACGAGCACTATGCTAGAATCCTTGATCCCTCTCACTCGACCCTGTTCCCGGTAACAATCGATGTAATCCTGTCTGAATTCGATGAAGTAAGCCGCCACTTTCAGGCTGACGGTGGCAAAAACAACCTTGGCCGGCTCGATGGATGCTCCACCGGCCAATTCCCGTTAAGGAGGGTGAATCTACCGTGACCGCAAAGATCAAGTGTTGACAGTCTCGATGAATGTCCATTAGCAGTCAACTAGACGTGAAGATGATGGTAGCCAGGATACCTGCTGACCATAACCTGTGGAAGAGAATTATACTGGCTAAAGCCGGGGTTTTCATTCGCTGGTTCGACAACGACGGCGGCCGAAAGAGTCCAAGTAGACTTCGTTCATCTGAATCCCTAGCGCCTAAACGTCGCCCTCACTTATTTCCAGGCCGTCCTGAAGCTTCTTCCTGGCTTCTTCACCCTCGGCATTGGCCGATTGCAACAGTGTCAGGACTTGCTGTCGACGTTCTAGCTCCACTCAAATATTATCCCAAAGGGTACGATGTGCTTCCATCCCAGTACTAGCACTTCGAAGGATAGCGTCCCCGGCCGGCTTTCGTTCCAGAGTCAATGTCTCGAGCAATGATGGAGCCGCCAAACCTATGACCGCATATGCAAGCTGCCATGCAAAATGAAAGGCATCTGCAATGCAGTGTTACTACCCAGTCCATTGATCGGAGGATGGCGATGCGTTCCGTCTCCTATGCAGAACATTCGACCTTTGTGCCTTTGATCCGTCACCTAGTCACTGGTGGTCGACACGTAGTTCGAGAGAACTTCGATCTCTACGGACAAGTCGCTAATCACCTAGTAAAGCCAGTCTAGCATTGCTTCCTTTGTAGGCCCAGAACTTCTGGAATCCTTTGTCGCAGGGTGCATGGATCCCGCAGACTCATTCCAAGGCCGTATCACCCTGGTATTCCCGACTGCTGACCATTCCGAAGCGCCAGAACTCAGACCCAAATTCAGGCTCCCCCGAATCACACACAATTCCTGGAGAAAGAGCCAGCGCCTGTCAAGAAAGAAGGTCAAGAACGAAGAGCAAGGACCATTGCCATGATTATTTCCTGAATCAATCATCAACAATCTGGCTCAGTATCTCTGATGTAGGACCTTCCAGTCAAGATCCACCACTATTTTCGAGCCTCGTTGCGTGCGATCTCCCGAACCTCATCGCCGTCCACAGATACGCTCAGCTCGGTCGAGTTGAGACACTGAGGTTCCACTCCTGGACATGATCCGGGCAAATCGCTGACTCTTTGTACAGAGCGAAAATCTCGGGCACCTGCCTCACTTGTGCAGAATTTCCTCGACGGAGCACTGATTGATACACAAGGCATCCACCCACAGAAACGAGACCTGGATCTCCCACTGGGTATATGAAAAAGCTGATATTTGGATCTTCGGGGATCGCACAAGCAGATTGTCGTGAGTCTCAGCTCTCAGCTCGGGTTGCTGTCGGGACACTGGTTCTGGCGTCGTTATTACCATTCAGGAGACTTCAACCGTTTGATAGAACCGAAATTTGGAAGCTGTTGATGGAGTGACTCCATTTTGTTACGCTGCGACATTTTACTGGTAAAGACTGGCGGGTTAGCGACTGTGCGAGATGATATCTCTGATCCTCAGCCTCATGAGCTTCGAGCGTTCGTCTCTGGAGAAAGGAGGAGATATTGTGGACCGGGGGAGGGGGCTGCATCACTCCGGTTTTGATGTAGGACAGTGGATGAAATCCAGCGTTTAGGAGTTGATTTTCTCGAATGTTCAAGGTATACAATATCAAATGGTCAGGCGGTCTAGCCCCGCGACAATAGAATGGCTATCAGAAGGCATCCAGTTAAGCTGCGGCTGAGCATTTCACAGCCGCCAACCCTATCGCTAAGCAGTAGTTGGTGATTTTTCCTGTGTGCTACAACGAAGCATTTTTCCCGCTCCAGCCGAAATGCGCTCATCGTCCCATGGAACCATTGTGCCAACGACTTCTGGCGGGATACCTTCACGCGCTAACTTAACATAGGTCATCGCGACTCTGTCTGGATGAATAAGCTTGCCGCCGTCATGTAGTCTGACTAGACTTTCCCACTGATTGCTGTCCATTTTCCCCTCGTCTGTTTGTGAGATTTTGGTCAGTTAAATACTCCTAGTAAAAGGGTGCGTCGAGAAACAAAGTAAAACAACGAAAATCCACTTACGCTCGTTTCGAACCTCGGCTTGCATTGCGGTGTCGGCAACGCCAGGGGATATACACACAGTCGGGACCTCGGGCAGTTCTGTTGCTAGATTATAACTTAAACAGTTCATCGCCGTCTTTGAGCATGCATAGGGCACCCAGGAGCGAGAGCTCCTCTTGGCCACGCCGGATGAAGTGAAGATAATCTTTCCCTTACATCGCTGGAGGTCGGCATAGGTGAGTTGGATCTAATATTTTTGGCAGGATAGTGTTAACTTCTTCTCTACTGCTTATTTTCTCCTCCTTCCTCTTATCTCAAAACCTCCACAGATAATCAAGGAGACTCACAGTGTAAATCAGCGCAAAGAAATTGATATCGAATAAACGCTTAAACTGGTCCACATCCACCTCCACAATGGGCCCAATAGGTTTCAGCACTCCGGCATTTAGAATCAGCGTCTCCAAGCGACAGTCTCGGGCGTGGATGCGTTCTAGGAGCTTCTCGCTAGTTGACCGCTGAGATACGTCACCAAGGACGATCTCAAGTCGAGGTTGGGACTTTTGCAACTCCTCCAGGTTCTCGCTTAGCACATCAACCGCGAAGATAACTGTGTCCGGGCCCGTGTCTTTCAGCAAACACTTGATAATGCTGAGGCCGATGCCGCGGCCAGCTCCTGTGACGGTTCTGTAGAATCTGATGAGCTTATTTGCCTTCAACACATACATCGAGGTTTCGGAGCTCATACATGGCTGGACGGCTCATTTTCACCACTTATCCAGAATATGTTTTCAATAGATCAATGCAGTGATATCAGCGTTGGGAAGGTGTCGTTTAGTCGTTTTGCCTTCGAGAAATTCGCTAATCTATCTATCTGTCTTAGAAGCAAAGAGAATCACAGATATATGATCACGACCATCCCTCAGAAATGCCCCAGACTCAAGCAAACTATCGGAGTTGCATGTGGTGTCCCGATAGTACGAAGCTTCCTTGGATCCTGGTGGAATCCATCTCATTGGGCAAACCAATCACCCTTCAATTCTCTCCACCACGGGGAACCAGCTCTCCAGTTTCTTGTTTCAGTCCGACAAGGACTCCAAATTCGATGACTGACAAGCACGCTCAAAAACTGAAGATGAAACCCGCGACAGGTAATTAATTGTGACATCACAGAGCGGGGTAATGTCGTCCGGCGGAAAGCAGAGGCTATACGCGGAAAGAAAGGAAGTCTGTCCGATTCGCGAGACGGTGGAATTAGTGCGTCCAAGTGCAGACAGGCCACTGCTGGTGCCACTGAATTCCTTTAGAAATTACCTATCTAAAGCCAAAAACTCGAGTGAATGCAGTATCCAACTAATATGGCAAGCCTTCCCCTCTCAAAATAAATCCCCCGACCTTGCTACTTGGTGGTTCTCCTTGCATCCTGAGTCGCCTTGTGAGATTCGCTCGTGAACCGTGCGAAGGCAGAGGGATCCCAGGTGTTGTCCGTTCACGATTGCGGGCGCATCCAAGACAAAATGACAGTATGAAAGCTAACTACGCCTTCTCGTCTTCATTTCTTACTGGGACACGCTCCACTGTCGCTTCGATCCGTTCGGTCATCAGTTCTCTGACGCTCTTCAGAAAGAAGGTGGCCACGATCGCCAGAACAACGAACGGAATAATGCTGGCCCATGCAGGCCTATATGCCCTTGTGTAAGCCCAACGACTGGCGTGCAAGGCGGAGTCCTGTATCGAGGGAGTCATGCCAGGTACTTTGGACACTGGAGTTCCCGCAGCCAAAGCCTTCAATAGCGTGGCTACAGAAGAGGTTGGAAGGCCGGCCTCAGTTGCAGCGTTGCCAACCTTTTCAGGATAAGACTTGAGTTTGTCGTTGATAATTGTGTCGAGAACTGCAGCACCGAAGGCCCCGCCGATAGCTCTGGCAGAGTACGCGAGACCAGTGGCGGTGGACAAATATGCGTGGGGAGCAGTAAACTGGATGAGCGTAACAAGGAGACAAAGCGGCCCAGAGACGCCAATGCCGGCCAAGACCTGGAACGCGATTTGCGCGTGGCTCATACTCGGTGAGATGAGCGAATAACAGATCGCTCTGGCAAAAAAAAAAGAAGAATTAGCAAATGCCCGTTTTGTGTTCGGGGACATTGGAGACTCACACAGCAAGGAATACCACATAAGTGAAGATCAGAGGGGATTTGATGTCCTTGTACTTTGTCGAGTACCACCTGCGGGGCTTGTTTGTTACTCAGGTGTTTTTTTCTCATATCTTGTTGACTGAAGGGCGGGCTTACATCAAGGGGAATGGTGTAACCAGGCCTGCAATTGTTAGAGAAAGCTGTCGGATCGCAACGTTCCAGGCGTTCCTTTCGAAGCCTAGATTGAGAATGATTCGCGGGGTGACACTGTTCACGGCGCTGTAGAAGAGCCAGCCCTCGACTGTGAAGCAGAACATTGAAATGGCGAAGTTGGCGGACCCGCGAAAAAATACGTGTGAGATGAGTCCATCCGAGCGACCAATCCATTCTATGAATCGAAGTTAGTAGGAGGCGAACGGAAAGAGTACGAAGGACATGGTCTGTCTTACCATAAACACCAAACGCTATCAAACAGACAAACCCGAGGGCTAGGGGAGCCGCGACTTGGGCATCGGACCATTCGTAGGCACCACTGGCCCAGTCCATTGCAAGCAACAGGAGGGTGCAGCCGAAGACAAAGAATAAGGAACCCCAGGGGTCACATGCCCAGATGACCTGCTTCCAAGAGCTTTTCGGATAGTCAGACTTTCGAATAGGGTGGTAGAACGCAATCAAGCCTAGGAAGGTTACGAGATGGAATGCTGCTTGCATCCAGAAAATGTTGCGCCATCCGGTCGGGCTGGCATTGGTGAGTGCTCCGGAGCCGAGGACACCAACACTGAGACAGAGGTTAGTGATTTATCGAGTAAGACTGGACGGGGAATTTCTGACATTCCGGCCACAGATCCTCCCAGATAACCAAGACCATTGGCGATAACACGGTACTTCAGAGGCAGCACTTCGCTGGGAATGGCGTGTACGATAGAAACCGTGGACAAAGTCACACCAATCAGGATGCCTCCACCGATGAGCATGTTCATTGATGTGGCTCTTGCGGAGATGACTGCTCCCGCGAAGGCGATGAGAGGTGGAAGAGAAGCCAAATATCTTCGGTCGAGAACGTCGCTGAGCCGCCCAATGGTGGGAGCCAAGGCGGACTGGATGAGAAGGGGACCCTCTGTGCTTTGGTCAGTATTTTCCTGATGATGCCGACCGGAAAGATTGGCTTACGGATGATCCAGGCAGCGTTCATGGTACCCAGTTCGCGCATGATGAACGCAATCACAGATCCGGCCGCGATCACCACGTGGGTCTGGGTCATGACAGCAAAGCTGCTGAAGAAGACGGCAGCCCAAGTGCGCCAGCCGAGGCGGACATGTTCGGCCTCGTTGAGGGTTTGAACATGGACCAAAGGAGCATCGAATTCGAGGTGGTGTTTAATGGCATAGCTGTCTTTTGTGTCCTCGCCAGCGACGTACTCAATGGCTTCGACCTGGCCACTGGCCGCCGGAGATTTGGTAGTCATTTTTCGTTATGATGACACAACAAATAGAGGGCTGTCAAGTAGGAGTAATAAAAAGGAGGAATTAGGGTCGATATCGAGTGATATGAACAGGGTCCCCAGGTATAGAGCGTCTTAAATATTTGGCACGGGAGGCGAGTGACTCGGTCTCGGAGAAGTGTGTGAGATCTTGGCCGCAAAATTCAGTTTATGTTCTAGATCTCGATGCGCTTAGGGCTGACCATGGTGCTCGATGCGTACGACTCGTACAGGACCTCACAGTCAACCCATGAGCAGCTGTGGATGCTTTGGCAGCCCCATGGCTGTAAACACAATTGACTAGCTGTTGCATCTAGGTATCAGACGCAGAAAAGAGATCGGCACAGTAGTCACGGTTTCGCACTGCATGGCACGTTATGGGGACGGACAACAAGAAGTTCGCCTCGGCTGTGTGGGGTAAGGAGACCCATGGGGTATCAAGCAATCCGAGGGACCCTCGAACAGCAATCGGACTGGCGACGGGTCGTCGGGGGCCATGCACCAATTTCCACGAATATCTATCAAATCGTTCCAAGATCCGTCGCAGCGCGAGAACCAGTGCATTGTAATCAGTCTATTCGGGATCTGCTGGTGCTCGATTCCGATTATCAGAATCAGTAGTCTCGTTCAAGATCTTGGGTCCGAACTACACACGAACGACCTTGTAACTTTCGGGCCAGTACATACCCTTGTCTCTGGATAAGAGGGTACGGAGTTCGGGGAACCGGGGAACTGTGCGTCGCAGGAGTCTGTGAGACCAAGCCTTGATCAACGCTGGAAGGGAAAGAGTGAAAGGGATTTATTTCACCAAATGACATTGTTGAATGTTGACGACGAAGTTTAGTTTTAAATTGTATTGGGATAGTATTACACACGTCCTCTGTTGTTGGAAATAGCAGCAGTATTGTGTTGAGGAGACATGTGTCCCAATAAAGTCCAGAATAGCTGGGAAGATGTATATGTGTTGACCTGGGATATACTCCTTTACCGCGTTACCCTGGTATTTTTAAGCTGTCATTCTGTACTACATTTATAGCTCTCCACCTTCACAGCAGCTGCTCAGTTCCATTCCCCACCTAGGCTTCGTTCACGAAGATACCCGCCATACCCATACCCTACACATGTTGTTAGACTGAAATCACGATGGCGTATTGAGAGAAAGGATATAGGATTACTTACAGTTCCAACACACATTGAGGTCACTGCAATTTTCTCATCTCGGCGTCTAAGTTCTGACAGAGCGGTGACGACCTGACGAACTCCGGTGCATGCAAGGGGATGTCCAATTGCTCTGCGAATCGTCAGTCAAAGAATGCGTCAAACACCAAGAGTACTACTCACATCGCACCACCCCTCACGTTGACCTTGTAGGGATCCAAACCTAGGTGCTTCACGGTGTAGACGTACTATTTTAAGCCGTCAGTGACTTGACTAGCGATGGCATTCTTCATACAAGTGTACCATAGATGCGAAGGCTTCGTTGATTTCAAAAAGGTTCACGTCATCTTTGGTTAAGCCCGCCTTCTCAAGGACCTTGGGGATGGCATAAATGGGAGAGATTCCCATGATCCGCGGCTCCATACCAACAACGGTGCTCTTAACATATTTCCCGATAATCTTCTGACCCAACCTTTGGGCGGTACTTCGCTTCATCATCAGGAGACCAGATCCTGCGTCAGCAATTTTCGATGCATTGCCACCAGTAGTTGTAAGACCCCAGTGAGGGAATGCAGGTTTGATCTTAGCTAAGGCGTCGTATGTGGTGCCGTATCTGATCAATTCATCCTTATCGACGATGATTGTCTTGGTTTCCTTCGTCTTGGGGTCGACCCATTTTGTCGTGACTGGGATGATCTCGTCCTTAAACCATCCCTCTTTATCCGCTTTCTCGGCCTGGGTTTGCGAGTACACGGCGAAGCGATCCTGATCTTCCCGACTGACATGGAAATCTCGTGAAACATTCTCCGATGTCCAACCCATTGGCTCGAGATTGTCCCGCGAAACTTGCTTCTCGAGCACCACATCACTCACGACCGGGGCGGTGCCGGTAGGGCTGGTACTCATGCTTTCAATACCAAGAGTAATGCCAACGTCGATCGCCCCAATAGCGATAGCGCTCGCGATAGTCTGGATTGAGAGAAGGCCGGAAGAACAGAAACGACTGGCCACGCTGACTCCCGTGGTGACTGGGAAGCCGGCAGCCATAAGCGCGGCTCGTGCGCCATAACCAGGTCTTGTCGAGAGGACGTTTCCCAAACAAATGTCTTCGACCAAGTTAGGATCGATTCCGGACTTCTCTCTGATGGCTGTGAGAATGTGCGCCATGAGGACTTCAAATGGAGTGTCCTTGAATTTTCCAGTGGGTGCCTTGGTCACTGGCGTCCGCAACGCACATGTTATTACCTTCGCAAGTACATTAGTGGGCGTACAATGTGAGAGAAACGTGAGAAACCAACAATATCATCGGGGTTTTTGGCAAGGACATGTTCGAGGCGATCCGGTGTGGTTGTCCCAGTGTTGGGAGCAATGTGGCCTGCGACGGCTACTAGACGACTCTGGGCACTCATGATTGATATTGGACAAGAATTACTGATAATCTGCCTCGAGGTATTGTGAATTGTGTCGCAAGATGTTGTTTTTGATATTTCGATAAAGCCAATTTTGCGTCTTATTGGGTTTCGAGTCGCGTTCATTCCGAGGTCCGCACACAATTTTCGGGCATAGACCGACAATCCCTCGTCATCGGAGTTCCACGTCAACGGTGGATAACGTAAAGTAAAGCCAGATTTTGGTTGTCGGGGCGAATGCCCTGCATTCATGAAGAATTGCAGATGATGCCGGTGGACATCGATAGCCCCGGAGCCACGGGTCGGTAACATACTCCAATCTCACAAAGGATTTGGTGGATTCACCGCGGTAACACGCTATTCGCTTATAGTCGAGACTTCCGCCGGTGAGGGAGACCGTTGGTGTTCTCTAGGTGTCAACGCTGTCTGCAACCATGTCTGCATTCCACGTTGTCGAACACACCGTGCCGGGTCAGCATATTCGAGAATACCCACGGGGGTTGAGCGGGTCGCAGGATGGTGTTTTGAAGCTTGCCGTGAATCAATACATCCCCAAAGACAATCTGAATCCGCAGGCAGGGGATGTGACAATTCTTGGTGCCCATGCGACAGGCTTTGTGAAAGAACTGTACGAGCCACTATGGGAGAGTATCTTGGCTCGGGCGAAGCAACAGGGCTTTAGGATCAGGGGTATCTGGATCGCAGATACAGCACACCAAGGGCAAAGCAGCGTGCTCAATGAAAGGCTATTGGGAAATGATCCGTCCTGGTTCGACCTTTCCCGCGATTTGCTCTACCTAGTCAACCACTTTCGAGACCAAATGCCGCGTCCTCTCGTGGGATTGGGCCATTCTGGAGGGGGGAACAGCATCACAAACCTGGCTTACATGCATCCTCGACTGTTCACTACGCTCATCTTGATCGAACCGATCATCTACGCCTTTCCGCGCATCCCACCACAGTCTGAACTTAGTCCCGCGAGACTATCGACTTTTCGCCGAGATGTATGGCCTTCGAGGGAACAGGCTGGAAAATTATTCAGAGCTAGCAAGTTTTACCAGAAATGGCATCCCTGGGTGTTGGACCGCTTCATTTCCCACGGTCTTCGAGACATGCCCACGCTGTTTCACCCGGCTACGCCCAAATCAGGAGTCGCGCCGCAAGTCACGCTGAGGACCCCTGTGGCCCAAGAGGTTTTTACATACTTTCGACCCAACTACGAAGGCTACGGACACAATGGCAAGCCCATCAACAGAACAACTCATGCAGACTTGGATCCCACCTCACCTGTGATATTCCCATTTTACCGCGGGGAAGCTGGCCAGGTACATATTCGACTTCCAGAATTGCGGCCCGGTGCTTTGTTCATCTTCGGGGGGGAGTCTGATCTCGGAGCACCAGGAAATGTAAGGGACAAACTCGACAGGACTGGCGTTGGGGTTGGCGGCTCTGGCGGGGCCGCTGTCGGAAAAGTAAAGTGCACGGTGTTCGATGGGATAGGTCATCTTGCCGCCATGGAAGCTGTTGATAAAACAGCTGACGAGGCATCCAAATGGATTGGAGGTGCTATGGAAGTTTGGAGATTAGAGGAAGCGGAACACGATGAAAATTGGATTCAAAAGCCGACTTTGGAAAAGCAGACTATTAGTGAAGAATGGAAGAAGAGCATAGGTGGTCTTCCAGGGAGGCAACCTCGCACATCAAAGATCTGATAAACGCTAGATACGCTTAGACAAGCTTGCCTACGGGATAGAGAGGTGCCACTATAATATTGTTATATGTTGAACAAAGAGGAAGAAAGAGGGAAGCATTGTTAACAACTAGTCTGTGCACCTAAGTCCACATGTGATATGAATAGCACAAAGTTTTCACGCTTGTCTCCTAGTCACGCCGGCGTTTTGATTCATTCCTAAGTGCGCATCTAATGCTTGGACCTCATGCTTTTGTACTGGACTAACAAGCAATAGCAGTACTTTGCAAGGATTCCCGTACTCGAAACGACCTCGAGTGGAACAATTCATGCTGGTGTATATCAACATGCCTCTACTGTGAAATCATGAAGCGGGTGGCTATGCATGTATTGCGACAATCCGTATTCTAGGTCCGGCGATTACAGCATCAACAGGAACATTGAACACGTCAAACCGACACCCGCCCATTTCCGAAGTTTTCGTGGCCGTTGGCTAGGGCTGTTACGTTTCCATGTCGAAGGCCATTCAGACTCTTTTCGACAGTGACCCATTCATTCCACCTGATCTTCCTGAGCATCCACCAGAACTTGGGGAACGACCAGGGCATTGTGTACGTGATCCACCCAGCATCGTTCTTGTAGTACGTCACACTGTGATCGCTGATTAGTATGGCCCAATTTTGGCACGGAAGAATCTCGAAGACTCACCAGTCGCTTTGGGCCCACACAATTCCCGCCTGTTGGCGTTGGACCTCGTCGTTGTAAGCTCGCTCACGGTCGCGATCAGGATACATTGCGAGCTTCATTCCTCGTTTTTCGCGCTGGATGATTTCCCGGATGGCGTTTGCTGCGAATCGTGCTTGCAGTTCCCAATTGTCTTGCTGTGACGACCAAACAGTCGCCGAGTTGGGCCCAAAGCACATGAACATGTTGGGGAATTTGGACGTGGCAACTCCGTACAAGGCCTCCGGATGCTCTTTCCATTTCTCCTGTAGGTCAATGCCTCCAGTTCCTTTAATCTTTTCGTGCTCTAGAAACTGAGCAACGTTGAACCCTGTTCCCAAGATGATCACGTCAAACTTCCTCTCCGTCTCAGTGCTGTCATTTTGATCAGCAGACACTACTCCACTTTCCGTGTATCGTACAAGTTTCTCCCGAGTGACTGTACAGTTTGGCTTTGCAAGCGAGCTGTAGAAGTTGTCAAGCCGAAGAGGCCGCTTGCAGTAATCTGGTGGAAGACAATATGTTAACCAGAACACGGTATCCCGGAGTCGAGAGGCACCTACATTTGGCAGTGGGTCGCAATATTTGGCGCAGTTTCGGGTCTTCGACTTGAGATTCCATGAACGAAACTGCCATCCTGTTCATGGCATCGTTCTGGGGTGAATTATTCCTGGCTGTCTCCTTTCCGTACATCATCATCCTCAGGTTCATTCTCTGCCTCACAATCCAGGCGAACCACGGAACATACTTGAGACAGAATCGGAAAAGCCTGTATGACCAAAATTAGGTACCTTTGTGGAAGTTTACCGTTGGCATTTGCGCAAATACTACGTACCATGAATACTTAAAATTATTCCTTGGTACACATACTGGAGGCGTTCGCATATAGACCTAGCCACGTTAATATCAATCAATATTCGGGACGACAAAATTGTTTATGAGGCAAACGAACCGTCAGATGCTTGACCTTGTCGATGATCTCTGGGATAATCTGTGCTGCACTTGGGCCGCATCCCACAATGCCGACTTTGAGCGCAGTGAGATCGACATCGTGTCGCCAATGTGCAGTGTGCCAGGAAAGACCTTTGAAATTCTCTCGGCTAGGCGTGTTGCCCCATTTTGGGCGATCAAGGGATCCAACACATTGACAAACCACGTCGGCAACCCAATGCTCGAGGCGACCAGACTTATGCTGTATTAGCACGTGCCAAACGAACAACTCATCGTCCCAAGTACAGGATTTGACGAAAGCTGAAAAGGTAGTACACTCTTTCAGTTTGTACAAGTGGGCGAATTCTGTGTAATAGTCCTGGATTTGACTCTGGGTGGCATAGAAGTGTGTAAAGGCTGCCCATCAACATTAGCCAAACGTTCAAAGCAAGACGGAGGAGAGTCGGACTTTTGCAGATGTGGTAACTTGTAGTATAGCTCAGGGCTGGGACGTCACAGGCACAGCCAGGATAGGTGTTTTTGGCCCATACTCCACCGAAGTCGTCGAGGGCGTCAAACAGTTGCATACCCTCGTGCTTGAGGATACCCTCCTTCAACAAGACGCTTGCCTGTTGAATTCCTGAAACGCCGGCTCCGACGATGATTACTCGCTTTCGTCTGGATTGCGGTACTGACGAAGCAAGCTGACGGACCTCCTCCGCCTCATCTGTCTCCTTGGGCGCAAATCCCCACATTGCTCCATAGCCAGCGCCATCCATGATGCCAGCGTTGAACATCTTCACTTGCTGCGGTGCCATCTGTGGGCGTCCTAATAGTGGCTCGTTGTCGTCTGTGAAAGCCATTGCGCTGCAACGAATGGATTTTCCCTCTTGGTTGATCTAATTATCGCATATTATTGTCTCTTGTGTGCGACTTATCTTCACCTTATCTTTAACAAAGGCTATAAGGCTGTCAACTAGTAGTTCAAAGAAAAAGGGCTGACAAGGTCGAGAAGATCTCGGAGGTCCGAGATGAAGGCCAAGTCAGGTGACAGGATAGATTGAAACAAATTGATCAGACCATTCTGTATATCGGAAATGTCGGGCTCAAAAGTGGTTCTGCATCCCTGTAGTCCTTCCCTCTGTCTGGCTAACACCCTCAACTGACCCAGCCGTCTCATTTCCAGGGGTTGACCGCCATTTACCCAGGTTAAGTACATGCTGGAAGTCGATTGGGGTCTAGACGGGGCAGGCCATCTCCCCTGGCTTTGGGAGCCTCGGAAATCAGTCATCATTGCCGAGAAAGCTAGCCGAAAGGTCTACTCCGAAGCTAGATGTCAACCTGCTCATTTTGCTGAAGGGACAGATAGCAAACTTCAGTTCTGGTGTATTCCTTTCCACAGTATTGCATTCACAGTCTAAATCGCACTTCGGAAACGTAGGTGGCAAATGTCGAACTAGAATCGTCGACTCCTACTACCTACTGACTCTGTAACTAGGTACATATGACGTCGCCGTCGCCATCCATGCACCCTCCGGGGTCGAGGGTCGTTGCCGACTCTTTGACTGCACCGAAATCGACGACAGAGGCATACTGGATGAACCACACAATGCTTCATATCTCAGATCCGTCGCAGTCGTTTCGATTCTACATAGACTTCATGGGCATGTCGCTGATTTTCACACTTAATACAGGGCCCTTCGTGGTCTACTATCTCGCATATCCTGGACAGAACGACCGCTCCCCAGCAGACATAGCAAAGTCCATGAGCTCTAGGGCGGGCTTGCTAGAGCTTGTCCACGTCCCCCGGAGCGAAAGGAATGAGGGTTTCTCTGGCCTAGGCGATCACACTTTTTTGAATAGAGGGTTTGGCCACCTCGGGTTTTGTGTTCCTAGTGTGGAAGAGACACTGAAACGTGCACGATCAGAGGGTTGGACGGTTTTAAAGGCTACGAACGACGTGTCGCTGAATGCCATGGACTTGAGCGAGTCGAGGACTTCCACTCCTTTGCATCCAGATTTCCTCGTCTCCTTTCGCCAAGTCGGCTTTATCAGTGATCCTGATGGGTAAGGTGCTCGCATTGTGTCAAATGCGTATGCTGACACCCTGTAGGCACAGCATTGAACTCCTACCATTGCATTGGAAAAGGTGAATATCTGCGAAACCTAAGAGCTTTCAAGGCCGGTGAATCACCTATGAAGTTTGGGTATCCTGGTTTGGGTCTCCTGCACATCAAAGCGAAGGCAGATCCGGGTGTCGATACCTCGTTTCATTCTCTATCAACAGTGTTATAGATATGAGATCGAACATAATCATCTTGTCATGATCTTTGGTTTCAACCTTCCTCTCCTCCAACACGTTCACGAGAAACACCGCTAGATTTAGTCTACATACGTCCTCTTTTGATGTGCCGATTCCACCTTGCCCACCCACGGCAGTCGATGCTTGACGTTAATCTCTACTGTTGGCGTAGCTTTCAAAGGGCCCATGTTGTCCAAGGTCCCGACTTGGATGACCACAATTCCAAGCTCAGGATCCCCCGGGTTAGGATGTGGCTGCCCGTAGATCGGGCTCCCGCAATCGGGACAAAATGCAATCGAGAAATCAAAACCCTCGTCAACATGAGTGGTGCGAACTTTCTTCAGTTCCCCGGTTTTCAAAACGAAGTTTTTGTCCGGCACAGTCAGGTTGAGTGACGCCGTTCCCCCAGAAATTTTGCGACAAGGGCGACAGTGGCACAACGAGGTCTACGTAAATACCCAGTGACATCAATATCTTGGTCGGAGAAGCTATTCATGTGCAAAAAGCACACAGCAAGGGGAAGACTGTTCGAGAGGTGGGCAGCGTGGCATACCTTCATTTGGGCTTCCTCAGTTACATCCAGCAGCTCGAAAGTGAGCTTTCCACATAAGCAACTACCGTGGAGGGTCGACATCTTTCCTTTGTTTAGAATGAAAATATATCAAGGTATTCAGGGTTCAAAGATAAAGAATTTTCAGACGAGAGTATTGATGGACGCGAGCTTGAGTAGAAACATGTCATTTAATTATGAGATTGATGTGCAAAGGTGACATACGCGGAGCAACCAGTTCTGTCAGCACAGACCGACCCTGAGCTCCGAGAAGAGCTGGCAGCTGAGACCTGGCTTTGCGGAAGATCGACAGCAATGAGGCCAAGTTTCCCGGAGTTAAAGTGGAGCACGCTTGCCACTTGCTTCGTTGTGCTCCGACTCCGAATGCCTTGGTCCGAGGCTTAATCTGTCACCAGAAGATATCCACCTCGTTGCCTTCCAGCCAAGCTGTAGCAGTTTCGGTCATCTTGTAGAATCCTTCGTTGTTAAGGGTTGGTAGGTCGGTGGGGACTTTATGACCCAACTGGCTCTGTGCCCACGCGAGGTATCTGTATCCAACAGGGTAGTGTTGGATGCTCTGTAGGTCGACTTCCGGGGCGTGGTTTCCGTCCACGGGGACCAATCTGTCTTTCTCATACAAGACCTTCGAGTACTGCGCTTTCCATCCATCGTGCTGTTTCTTCACAAAGAAGACGACTCTACAGTCGCATTCGACGTCAATGTCAAAGTCTTGAAGATTCACACGTTGGGTAATGGTAGCCTTCATCCGGCCAACCGCCCGTTCTAGTGGTAGATTCAAGTCCACAAGCGTGCCATTCTCGCGATGCATGATGAAGTCTCCCTGGGCTCTTTTCTCTTGGGAAATTCGAATGAAATCGTCGATCGGCACTCCGCCACTCCAGGCTAGAGAAGAAAGCACTTAGTTAGGAACAGAGAGGCTACGGATCTCAATCAATGTACGCACTTGTAAAGATATGAGCACCTTCGTCGGTGAAGATGCTGCGAAAGTTTTTCCATTCAGAAACGTCTCGATACACAGGCCATCCTTTCAGGAGTTCCGATATACAATAACGTGCCAGAATCTCTTCCGTAGAACCATTGAAGTGGTTGAATGTTTTTGGCTGTGTCTCTTTCTCGGTGACGTTGTATGCCATTGTTCCCAAACGCCGTCTTCTCCAGCAGGAAATTTATGTACAAAATCAAGATCTTGTTGCGAAAAAGTGCTTTAGTACTAACGGGCAAGCTGATCTCTAAATAATCCTAGGTCTGCAATAATTGTCCCTTGCCAAGGGGCAGAATGGCGAGCTGATGACTCCGAGGATCGTAAATAAGATCTCTAGTCTGCCCTCACGGAGAAGCCAGTGGGTTTCGCCCATTCCCCTCAAGCCATGTGCGCTCCACGAGCGCAGCTCTTTCGGCGTTTCTAGCTTTCATATCAAACTTAAATGGTTTAGGTTGGACATTGAATCCGGTCGTGTAGTTATACCAAGGCACTTCAAAGCCAGGTTTTTTGGTGATGCTAGTGGCCCAAGCTATGCGAGCGATCAAAATATTCAATGACCGCTCTGCAATGTTCATGCCAGGACATATTCTTCGTCCAAAGCCGAAAGCAGAATAATTCTGCACGGATGGAAACTTGGCAAGGGGTTCACGGTACGTCGGGAATGATGACTCTATCCACCTGCCCGGATTAAATCTTTCTGGATCTGGGTAAAGTGCAGGATCCTGGTGTATGGCCCTTGAGTGTACAATTAGCTGGGTGCACGTCTGACTTGTCCTTTCTGGGGTTGTTCTCACCACTGGTTTGCATGTACCACAGTGCCAGCAGGGAAGAAGAACCCTAGGTAAGTATCATCTTTGATGAGCTGATGGGGAATACCTCCGGCTGTGACCGGCCGCCATCTTAGAACCTCTTTTGCAACGGCCCGGACCAGGGGCAGTTCAGGGATGTCGTCGAAAGCCGGCAGTCGCTGGTCTCCCACAACTTGATCAATCTCTGCCTGTAGCTTTTCTTGCCAATCTGGATAATGGCACATTGCTAAGCAAAAAGACATCATCGCCGCTGCTGTGGTACCGCTACCGGCCTCAAAAAGGGTACCGATTACATATGCCCCTTCATCATCGGTAAGTCCAAATTCGTCTTGCCTTTCGAGAAACGTTTTCATAAAAGAGGGAGGACATCCAGGTTGCTTCATTGCCTGTCGGACTTCTTCCATCAAGGATCGGAATAGTGACAGCTCTCTCTGGTGAAGTATCTCTGCCTCTTTCTTGAAAGGGGCGAGCCATTTTGGGAGATACATAAGTATAGGAAAGCTATCGACTAAGTACGATCCTGGAGAGGCGACACGCTCCACGGTATGCACGACCTCGAGCGCTCGGCGGACTAAAGGCTCGTCGTTAGATTCAACTGTCTTCGCGTATCCCAGCCGCATAATAACGGCACCGGCATACCGTTCGAAAAGCTCTTCGTATCTGGACGGATCCCTTAGTAGATCGAAAATAAGCCTTTCGGATTCGAACACCTGTAAATGCTGATACTTGGTCGCCGCTGCTGGCATAGTTAAAACGTGCATGAGCTTGCGGCCCCGTCTCCATCGCTCTGAAACAAAATTAGCTACCAGGGCTCAACGATGTTCGACGGCTGATTGTTAGATACCGTCGTATGGCTGAAGCAGTGTCCGAAGATTCTTGGACATCAGTTCGGCTGCCATTGGCAGTTGCTCTCTCGATGAGTACAGCGAACCACGCTCTCGAAGGAGATCATTGGCGATTTTCTCGGTTGAGACTACGACCATATATCTTCCTGGAAGCGTGAAGCTGAAAATGGGACCAAAAATATCGGACCACTCTTTGAATTTAAGCCAAGTCTGCACAGGGGGCAGGTTGAACATGTTGCCAAAAAATGGTATTCCTATAGTAGAAGGCCATACTGGTCAGACATCATTTGTGAACGGTGGCCAACAATAAAGCACAGCAATTCAACAAGACTTGTGACTCACCTGGGGGCCCAGGAGGTAATCGCATGCCTGAAGGTGGCCTTTTTTGGTTCGAACTCGCATTCCAAACAACACCTATCACGGCTAAAGCTGCGAGAACTGCGTAAAGCAACACCGACATTTCTCGACAAGTGACAGTACGCGCACGGCTTTGTGTGAAGATAAAAGCGAGCCACGGTGCATAATGATAGACTTATATGGCTGAGCCAATACCGGACTGGTTTTCGAGAATAGTCACACGACGGCACTGATTAGGGTCAGCCAACGCCGTAAAGCAAAATCTCCGATAACGCCTGTGTCGGAACTAGTAATCCAAGCTTAAGCCATATACCGACACGTCGGGATACAATGAGAACATGCTTCCACCCAAGAACGAACCCCACAATTTGATTCCGACGCTGCTGGTGGCTTTTTATCATGAAACCGGCTTGGAAAATGCCTCGCGATTGCCTGAATTACATGAGAGGTAAATGGTTCTATGACCTTTCGAGGGAACCGAGGTGAGAAACTGTCAAAGTACACTCCAAATTTGCCACAACCGTTGACAGCCTCGTGCATTGAATTGGATGAATGCGTCATTCAAACGTTACTAACATAATATGATCCCATCCCTCCAGTTGATGTAACTACATGTGGTTCATAACACGCCCTCCCAACTTTCAACTTTTCCCTCGCGGGCAGTCTCTATCCACTCCTTTTCAAGTAGGTGCTCAACTGCCGCGTTTCTGACCTTGAAGCGGGCTTGGAATGGCAGAGCAACCGAGATCAGTGAGCTGCTGAACCTGGAGGAACTAGTATCCACAGGAATCTCTTGTCCATTCTCATCTAAGGCGGGTTTGATCTCGAAAGTTTGAAGTAATCGAGACGCCATGGTGAACAAGGACCGCTCCGCCAAATGCATGCCAACGCAAATCCGTTTCCCGCCACCATACGAGAAATGGTCCCGCGCAGCTACATCACTGCCGTTGGCATAGGCCGAGGCACTGAGCTTATGGTCGAGGAACCGGTCCGGATTGTAGCGGAATGGCTCTGGATATCGCTCGGGGTCGTGATGCATCGCCCTAGATAACGTATAAGCCTGAATCTTGAACAGGAACAATGCTGCTTACCAGGTATTGATCCGAACGACTGTTCCTTTCGGGATCCGGTACCCGTTGTACTCGTCTTCGGCATTCGTGTAATGTGCGAAACCTCCGGAATGTCAGCTATACCATATCATCGAGAGCGGAGGGGAACGGACTCATTGGAGCGATGGTGTTCCATCTATGCTGTTCTTTGATCATAGCCCTGATGTAAGGGAGGTTCGGCTCGTCCTCCCACGTAGGGAAGCGATCACAACCGATCACGCGGTCTAATTCTTCGTGAGCTTTGGCAAGGACCTCTGGAAATGCGAGGCACGCCAAGATCAAAATGACCAAAGAGTTCGCTGTCGTGTCCGCACCAGTCTGAAGGATCTCAGCACAAGTCGTGGCTGCTTGAATTTCACTGATCGACTCATTGCCCGCCCTTAGCTCCTGAAGGTCTTTCACGATCGTCTTCTGTTTCGGATGCTTCTTTCCTCGTTCGAGGGCGTTGCGATAATTCTCCAGACTCAGTGCATCTTCCTCATCTCTAAATCTCTCCAGGAGTGCGAGCCAGGGGTTCATAAAGCGAGGGAGGCGGAGTAATATTGGCATCGATTCAACAAGAAATCTTCCCGGTGTCATGGCGTACGAAAAGTTTGCGACCACGCTCGAGAGTTTAGTGGCAATGGGGTCGTCGTGTGACATTACTCGTTGTCCATAGGAGATGCTCCGCGTCACGCTGAGTGAGTATCGGTGGATATGGTCTGCAAACAAGGTCGGCTGCTTGAAAATGTCGTGTAGAGCCACAATCGCTTCGGCTTGCTGAATCTTAATATAGCCATCGCATCGGGTCGAATTCAGGATACTGGCGAAAAGCTTTCGCACCATCTGTTGGCGAAAGAAAGCGCGCGCTGGTTAGTCACATAAAGCACAGAATGTTTGGAGAGTTTTACCCGCCAGCGCGGTCCGTATGGCATCAGAACACTGCGCAACCCATGGCTAAGGATATCTCCCACAACAGAAGGTGGACGAAAAGAGTAGATATTTGCGCTGGCAAAGTTAGATATCAAAAGAGCCATGTACTCCATATTCTCATACCGTCGGTCAAGCAATTCTTTTGAAATCTGTCCATCGCTAATAATAACGAAATGCTGTAAGCCGACTCGCATGTGCATCAATGGGCCATACTTGCTGCCAGAAATGTCAATGTCTAATCAAAATTTGTTCCGATTTACAGGACTCACTCAGCCCATTTTGCATATTGGATCCACTGTACACGAGTCAGTAGCGGTATCACAGGAAAAGTTGAACGAAACTGATCGTGGGATTTGGGGGATCAGTCTTCTCAAATTTGGGGTTCTCTGTACCGGATGCTCCTTCGGTAGGTCAAACGTCATGCTCAAGAAAGGGAAACGGCCATTGGGGCCAGGCGGAAGAGGTAGTCGGTGCACTTCGCGCAGAAGCAAGTATATCGTAAGGCCAGCGAGCAGGAGGCATCCGGCTTTGATCACAAGTCCGCCATAAGTGCCGAGAGCTACTGGCGAGAGCTCCATGTTGTGAATGGACAAAGAGATGTTCTGCAAGCCGGGGAGTGGGAATGCTCAACTGTCTTGGAAGGCGAAGTTTTTGGAAAATGATAGTTGCATTTATCAGGGGTCTAAATTTCAGACATATTTGCGCCCTTTGCTCCGAATGTATCGGGCTCTGGGTTATAGAAGTGTCTCCGGTTACTCGGCTCGGAACTTGAACCCTTCGGTCTCTACCTACATACCCCAGGCGGAGTCCGACTTCCTACAAGTCAACGGTTGGGACAATCACGGTAGCTGGCATTGCCGAGAATCTTGTTGACAAATATGCGTAAATGATACACGAAAGTCCAGGAAGGGAAAAACGGAAACATAGGAGGTATTGGAAGTTAGAGGTGATTTCTAGAATGGTCTGCTAGTTCTTCGAGGGATCAGTTTTCAAACATTTAATCGGCTGAAATAGCAAGTCTTGCCTCTGTTATAACTTATCGCTGGAAAGCTGTCTATGACTGTATGAGAGAGACCGTCCTGTTGGACAGATAGAGGGGTCTCATGTGGTTATTTCGCCACATTTTGTGCCTGTGTATTAGCTTCTAAAGCACAAAAGCATCCCATCTCCTACGAAAGAACGACATCGTGAATCGTTGCGCGAGAGTGAGTCTAGGGCTTAGGATTCGTTCAGAACCGAGACCAGTATATGCTCGTACTTGCTTTGATAACTCAAAGTGTATAGAGCCAACCATCAATGCCCTCCAGTTGTAGCTTGCCCTGTCGAACTTTCTTGTTCTGTCTCGCAAAGTACAAATTCATCAAAGCAATGTTGAATATACTCACCAGAGTGACGGCAACGCTCACCCAAACTCCAGTCTAGGACAATCTGTTCAGCATTTCAGTGGAATAGGATTGTTCGGAGGATGCACATACCGGGTATCTAGGAGTCTCAGACGACTTGAATGAGACACTGGCAATGATCCCTCCCAAGGCTCCTCCAACGGTGCATGTCACTGATACGAGTGCGCGTTTCGAGTGAGAAGTAATGTTGTTTGCCTGAAAGGTCAACAACCCGGGGATGCAAAAGTTGAGTGCGGTGATTCCTGGACAGATGTAAGTTTGTGGAATGGCCAACCCCCACAAGAGCACGAATTCTCACCAAGGAAAGCTCCGAAGTATCGAACGGCATTGCTTCCTCCATAAACTGTCAAGATGACGCCGATCAAGGTACAAATTTGATGAATGATGACAATGGGACCGCGCAAATGATACTTGTCCCCAAGCCATCCGGACACATAGCACATAATCGCCGCAGCAATATAAGGCGGGGCGCTCAACAGCTGGCTTTCTGTTGTGCTGTAGCCCATCCCATTGCGAAGGATAATAGGGAGGAAGTAATTGTAGGCGTATCCCGGCACAGTCACAGACAAGAAGCTGAAGCCCCACACATAGATCTTCCAGTCTTTCATGTGGTGTAGGAGTCGACGGCCTGTAATCTCATCCGGCTCAGCATCTCCACGATCCTCGTTAATCATATCAACCACAGTCTTCATTTCCCTAGCGTTGAGGAAGTCGGTGGCTTTCGCTGGGAAGTCGATAAGAATGAACCATCCTAGGATGCAGACAGCGCAGGTGATGGTGCCTTCGATTATGAAGATCCCTGGAGACCTAGGCGTCAGCCTCATTGCGGACAGAGTGTCGTAGCTGAAACAGGGCAGACTCACAGCTCCAACCATTTAGACCATGACGACCGCCGAGGAGAGAGAGCACATAGGCGAAGATTGCGGCGAGCCCAGAGCAAACAACTTGGAGCAGCCAGAAACAGGCCAGCCGCTTTCCCACGTCGAATCGAGTATACCAACATGTGATGAGATACGTACAGCCTTTCCGTCGAGTTAGAATGTCCGGGCGTGATGAGTGCTTGGGAACATACCAGGCAGGAAGCCTGCTTCTAGTGCCCCGAGCAAGAGTCTGCACATCATCAAAGCCCACCATTGCCTAACGAAACCCATGCCAATCAGCACTACCCCAAAGCTAACGCCGATGAAGGAGAGCCAGTTTGCCGGTCCAGCTTTGGGTAGAATCAAGTTCTGGATGAAACGATCAACCATAAAGATATGGTAAGTAGAGCAACATGTCACCTACGCTCGGAAGTTCACACAAACTGATCCAGAGTAAGTGCCAAATTTCTGCCTCGAAAGCGTTGGTTTCATGACAAAAACTTACATGTACGTGACGAAGAACGTCATGACAATGATGGTATATCGATCTCCAGTTTGCAGCCCCAAGTCCGTCTGCATGCCGGCGACATATGCAAAGCCCAAGTTGTTGCGGTCAATGACTGAGATGGAGTACATAGCGGCAATGATCGGAAGCAGTCTCAAGTCAATGCGACGTCTGGAGACCACCATTAGTTGCCACCGCTCCTCAATTCTCGTTGGATCATGTATTGATTCCTCACATCAGCTTGGTTCTGAACATCGCTTCGGCTGGGTCTATAGTTTCTAATTTTTCCACGTGAGCCACATCATCCAAGTGTGACGAGATCGTGAGTTCCACTGTGGCATTGTCTTCGTAGGCTGCAGCCGCTGACTTTGGGGGTTCCATTGCTAGGTAAGAAGAAGCTAGTTTTGTTCCAAGATGAACGTATGCAATTCAGAACTTGTTGTTCCCAAGAGACGATCAACCGAGAACTGCCCATTATATATCACCATATAACCCCGGCATCTCCGGACCGAAACCCCTCTTAAGGTCCTAGATTTCGGCTGAGATGTTGGCCTGGAGAAATGAGCCAGCCCCCTGATGTTATCACCTACATAATGCGCCGAGCTAGCTCATGTACGAGTAAGAGTAACACAAGGGAAACTTCAGCTACGTTGGTAGAATCTTAGAGTGCTGTGGGATTCAGTTACAACGTATTTCCAGTAGTACATAGTACGAGTCAACTCCTATTCACTCGCAGAATTTCATTGACAGACGGCGGACTCTACCAGATGGATTTTCCCCATCTGACAGTTAGGATACATGGACGAGACACGCGCCGCTGCAATCACCCTCTTGACGCTCGATACACCTCGAGTTGATAGGCCAAACAGGGCACTTGTTCTGGTTCCCGTTCAGCTTCGAGCTTGCAAGTCTTACTCCATTGCCACAATCCTATCAGGACCAAGGACTTTAGTTCATTTACTACATATCTTGCACTGCTCCAGACTCTACAGGCTGTGAGCGCGGGTCTTCCACGACAAACCGAGGCGCGGACTACATTTGCAATTCATCGGGAATGGGAGGTTTTGCAACTGTTTCAGAAGTCCGACGCCCAGACCGCCGGGCATGAAGATACTAGTCTGGTGATCCGGGGAGAGATTGCCGACACCATGTGCGGCGCCTCGATCACATCCGACTCCGATCACATGGGGTTGTGTACAACTTCAAGACACTCAACCTCGAGAAGGATGTTCGGTAACTTGCTTTATAGTTGACCTCGTTTCTGCATTTTATCCCTATCAATAGCCAAGGGGCTTTGTGATGACCTATTGAGGGACACAGATATTTATCATGACTCAGAGTAGCCAAGCCCCGAACGGTGTCAAGGCGAATGGCGCCCATGCCAATGGCGTCTCGCACGAGCAAGACTATACACTGCAGGCAGAGGCTGCGCGCATCTTTCATCTAATTCTCAACCATCCACGACTTGATGCCCCTGCTGAGGTCAAGAAACACGCCCCCAAGGTCAAGTTCGTGGGCGATGAGACTCAGCCATTCTATCCTACACCCTACAAGGCAGCCGAGTCACAGGCCGCACTGAACGGCTACATGGGATTGTTGGCAAGTGCGATATCCAAGAAAAGATATGGAACTGATCAAGAAGTTGTGGTGGACGTGTGAGTCCTCCTGAGTCACATATCACTCGCCGAGTTACTGACATTGCTAACAGTGCTCATGCCATGATGAGTGGCCTAGCAGCCTTGTTTGTCCGTACTGAGGACGCCTGGCTGTCTGGAAATAAGCAGATGAATGCAGCAGCAGCACGATGGGACCATGGCCAGACCCGAGAGTTATACAGACAACTCGCCACGAACATTTACAAAGCCAAGGATGGAAGATTCTTCTCCCTTCATGGCAACATGAATCCCTCTCCACTACTTGAAATGTTGTGTCTTCCTCAACATAACGACAATAACCTCTCTTGGGAACAGATCCTCCAGATGTACATGGACCTCATTTCCCAACTTGACTCAAAGACCCTTGACGATTGGAGTAACAATATTTATCGCGTGCCTGGTACGATTTGTTACGAAGAGGATGAATTTTTGGCCTTGCCCCATGTTGGTGTGGCCCCGAATCAATGTTGAAGGATTCTGACTAGAGCACAGGGCAAAGCAATCAAAGATGAACCCATTTACAACATCATCAAGGACGAATACTGTGAGCAGCCTGCGGTGAGCTGGAGCGACCATCCAGTTCCGGATCCTACGGATAAGCGTCCACTCTCCGGCATAAAGGTACTCGAGCTTGCTAGGGCCATTGCTGCTCCGACTGTCGGTCGCGTTTGCTCTGCCCTAGGAGCCACTGTGATCCGTGTCAGCAGCGCAGCTAACACGGAGCTCCCAGTCACCTTGTTGGATGGCTGCATTGGCAAGATTAGTGTTGATATCGACCTGAAAACTCACGAAGGCCGCAAAAAGTTGATGGAACTGATCAAAGAAGCTGACGTTTTCATCGATGGGTATCGCCCGTCCGTCATGGAGCATCTGGGCTTTGGTCGCGACGCGGTCCTTGGATTAACTGCAGGGCGGGGTCGGGGAATTGTGTATGTGCAGGAGAATTGCTATGGCTGGAAGGGTCCTTGGAAGATTCGACCAGGTTGGGCGCAGATTGCAGACACAGTAAGTTATTGAGCCTTGTGGGTGGTTTTCCAGAGAGTTCGAGGCTAACCTGTTGCAGCTTGTTGGTATTGGGCTCGAGGTGGGACGATTCAATGGCTTCGACGAAGCTCATATTTTCCCCGGACCTAATGCAGACTATCTGTAAGTACTGCCTCTGCAACGCACACCTTCTCGCACGGCTTACATCATGATAGGACTGGCCACGCCGGAGCTTGTGGTGTGCTACACGCATTGTTGTTGCGGTCGACCCAAGGCGGATCTTACACAGTTCAGTGTGCCCTGGCTGTTTCAAATTTGCAGATGATGTCGTTCGGCAAGTATTCGGAGGCACAGCTCGAGAAACTCAAGGCTCGAAACCCTGAGCTCATCGGCCACATGCGTCATTACGACGAGATTGTCTCGCACGGCGTCAACCGACACGTCGTTCGCGGATTTATCGCTGATAGACCATTTGAGAAAGCGATCAAGAAAGAAAACTACGAGGTCATCAGCGGCGAACCATGGGGCTGGGAGGATGTGGAGGTCGTGAGGTTAGGCTTCTCGCTGACCAAGACGAACACCAAATTCCCACTTGGAGCTCATCCACCGGGTTATCATCTGCCCCAGTGGAAGGCAGCTAAGAACCCAGACTTCGAGCCATTGCCATCATGGAAGGCCCTGAAAGACCAAGCGTGAGCAGGGTAGAGTCAGTTAGTCCTTCGGTACGACCGTGTGGTGTTTAAACATGTTGTGATGAGGCTCAACCAATCATCATACGGTTGACGGAAAGTCTCATGGAATCATTCCGCACGCTTTGAAATGATAGGGAAGATTCTAGTATGTTGTTTCAGTGTATATATGCTCCTACATTCCAAGGATGTAGAAGAACAATAAGAATCAATACATGCTTCCACTGCCGGAATTCACAACAAAACAAAAATAGATCACACCTGCCCTACCTTTCAGTTATGCAGACAGATATCCGCAATAATTCCATGTCCATGATGTTCACGCATAGTGACAAGTCGAAAGACCTGAAGTGACAGGAATAAACCATGGCTGATGCATACCATTTTGCTTTTTTCCTACCGAGGATTTGGGCCTCCACCGGGGGCGTGCGGTGGCACTCGTCTCGAGGCAAGATTCTCTCCAGGTCGTTGGCAATCGGCGCTAGGGTCCGAGTTTGTCCGTCACTTTAGTAAAATGACCGTCAAATGGCAATAAATGACTGACAATAGATATTTGACGGACATCATCCCACTAGTCACCCTTAGAGGCTTGGCACAGCGCTAGATACCAGGGTACTTGGCGCCAAGTCTTCTTAAACCGATGTGTTTTGTAAACTACTTTAGGATACGTACCTTATCACGTCACATGACTATATTCATTAAGAAGGACCTATAAATTCAAGCTCCTAGCCATAAATGACAAAACGCTGTCATTTTAGAATAAATGACTGACTTCCATGGCGCCTACATAAATGACAGACATATCACGTCCTATCCATTACTTGATCCCTAATCGGCGCATATTCTCGGAGTTGGAGATGCATGTGGAATACTCCGATGCAATGGTCCTCGCCGCGCGCCATATCTGGAGCCCGTCGGCCCCACACAATTCGGCTCCGGACTGTGGCGGGGTACGGGGTAGAAATATCTATTCTACCCCGCGAATCGCTTCCTGTCAGGCCAACTCGTCCGACAAGGTCATGCTCTCCAATGTCCGACATAGCAGTAGGAGAAACAGGATCCCAAGCGGGAGGCTTGGGCCCTCAGGTGCCTACTCAACCGACACCTAAACCACGGTCTGCTGCCTCACACTACGATGGACCTTGTAGAACCGGTCATAGGTCAATAGCTGACGTGATGCGTACCAGTTTCCCTTGCAGTATCTGTGCAAGGACATTTCGGCGTCGGTGAGGCCTCCGTCCACAACTGAATCATCTCAAGCGTATTTCCCTTTGGTCGGTATTGACTGATGCACGTGCGACAATAGTGATGCTCTCCACCGTCATCTCGAAGTGCACAATGAAGGTCGCCCGCCACCAAAGTCGAGAAAAATGGCCTGCGTGCCGTGCATACGGTCGGGTCTCCTGAGCAACCTGAATGTAATCTAGACCGCGCTGATTCTTTGTCAGGTCCAAGATTCGATGTTTGAGAGAACGTCCATACTGCTCGTCGTGCCTGAAGCGGAGACTGCCTTGCGAGTATGAGGTGCCGCATAAACCAGGTACCCCCAACTCACTATCATCTTCATCAGCGCCCCGCGCTCAGTCCAAGTCTCCCGGTATCGACAGGGCCTTGCAAGACGATGCCCTACATGACGCGTTCATTCCAATGGCCAACTCAAACCCCTCGGCTGCTTCTGCTATCAACGAGTGCATGAGCTCTGTCACCACCACTGATCACATGACACTCGATGAAGGCTTCACCTTGCGGGGGACCGGACAAGCGCAGTCTCAGGCTCCCCCGGTGATAGACTTTTCGAGCATGTTCGCGGACAACAATTGTTTCAGTACACTGGACACAAATCTAGGATGGATCTTCAGCAACAACTTCGAGGACATCTTCGCCTCAATACCCCCATCACCTGGGGCAGCCGAACCAAAGGCAACGGTCGGCCTTCCCGTTGAGCGGCCAGAGCTGCAGAAGTTTCAGACCGGGGACCTACTTCTCAATGATCTTGACACCCAAATTGCCATCCCCGATTTGCCGCTGCCCACCCCTCGCGATAGATGCAGCCCCGATGATGCTTGGCCGATGGAGTGGCACGCATCGACTGAGCAACGTCTCGTCTTGCCCTCCTTGGGTCAATCCAGCGACGGTCAGCTTATTGAATTTGGGTCCTTCTACTCACTTTCCCCGATCACCGAGACAACAAGAGCGACCATGAGTGGAAGCATCCGAATCCCCCTGCAACGAATACCCTGGCAAGCTGTTTCACTGGCCAATTTCCCATCCAAGGAAAAGCTGGATCATTGCATTGACCTTTATTTCCGACACTTTGACTATGTGAGAAGACCGACGCAACGCTGCCTATCTACGCGGAGTGCTTGAAGACGTAATCGGACTAACCATCGAGCGTGTTTAGATTTTCCCAATCCTGCATCGCGCCACTTTTGACCCGGCTGAGTTCCCACTCCTGACATTGTCTGCAGCATGCATAGGTGCGTGCTACACTACCTTTTATGGAGCTCAAACTTTTTCCAATTCACTGTCGGAGTTGATCAGACGTCTTATCACCTTCATGGTATGTTTACTCCGTACTCAACCCTGTACAAGGAGGTTGACCTGATTATAATCTCCCCCGTCTCAGGCCGAGTATGATCAGAGATTTGTAAGGACGGAGTACTATGTTATTTCGCAGCTGCTCCAGAGCGTTCAAGGCTACTGCTGTGGAAGTCGACGCCTTTTCGAACTCAGTGAGTCAGCGCGCAGTGCTCTTGTCAACAACGCGAAAAACATGGGCCTATTTCGGTATCGAGTACCTCCTATCGACGAAAACCTCAATCTCGAGGGCCGCTGGCGTGAGTGGATCAGACAAGAAAGACTTCGACGGCTGGGGTGGGCTGTCTACGTTTGTCATTTCCTCAAGGCGAAGTTTTGTTTGTGTTTCTGACCCATACGTAGGAGCTTGATTCCTCCGTTAGTTATCTTCACAACAACCGACCATACCTCAGCAATGCGGACATTGACATGGAGATGCCCTCGGCTCCCGAACATTGGGAAGTACAATCCGCACAAGCTTGGGGTGCTTTGCACCCTTGGACAGGGCGTACACCAAGGCCCCTCAGGTTTCGACCTCTGATCAGGTCACTATTCGACGACACCGAGAGGGCTCTGGCAAAGCTCGACAGGTCTCATGACCGCATTGTTCTCCTCACGTTCGTGCAAATGATGTGGGGCGTCAAGGAAATGAAAGCGTCGCCCTTCGGCGACATGATTCCGGGCACTGTGCAAGCGTCTGAAGGACAGATGAAGCTCCAGGGTTTGATCGATCGATTTCTCTACCTACGCACCAATCCGGTCGCAGCCGCCACCCTGACCAGAAGAGAGCTTGCTTGCGCATTCAGGCAAGTCCAGATGATACATATGTCTCATCTCTACGCCGCCGGGGACTTGATGGACTGGCTCTATCCTCTATTACGGCGGGGCCCAGAATACGAGAGCGCCAAAGCTCGGATGATGAAATGGGCTTCCCAGGATGCCGTGCAGGTCCGCGAGGTGGCCTTTCACAGCTCCCAGACGCTTGCGGTGTTCAGAGAACATCAGGCCAATTTCCCCCACGAACCCTTCACCGCGTTTCACGCTGGCGCGGTCCTCTGGTGCGTGGCGGATCTCCTCCCGAAGAGCAGCTCGATGCATACGTCTCCTGGCATCCGTCTCGACCGACTCGTGAGCCATGAACGAGAGACAGTCGCTGTGAAAGAGTGGATCCAGACCGGAGGACCACAGGTCGTGAGCATCTATGGAGTTCCCAACCTGACTGCCAAGGATGGAAAAACCCAGGTCTTGGAGGAACTTGCCGCGCTGTTGAAACGCATGAAGCCATGGGGAATCGCTCACAACTTCCTCAAGGTCGTCACGCGCCTAATGGCCTTTCAAGCTTGCAATCTCGATACATGTCTCGGCGGTTAAAAGCTCATAAGACAACTCACACGACCTTGACTAATTCGTGCGCTATTTACTCCTGTACCAGAAAAGACAAAAGATGATTGCACCTCTCCCTGCTGCAATCATTGCCAGAATTCTTCGTAACGGCGTTCTAAATACTAAATATAAAATACTAGGTATAAACTAGTTTTAATATTAGTTATACTAAATAATTTCACGTATTTGAACCGTCTAGTTAAATTACAGTTCCAACGGGCCAGACACTTGGCCCTCGTATTCTAGATTATGCACAGAATCCAGTGGGGATATACGTAGCTGAAATTGATATAGATATAGTGTAATCCCAGTTTAGTTTAACACGGTCTTGTCATTCTAGAGAGATATTCACCCCTCTTCTTGAAATGGTCTAATTCAGTTTTTGCGCTTAGTATTGTGCCATGGCAACCTCGTGTGGAACGCCAAACGGGGTAGGAGTGTTCTGTCTGGCAATAAGGCGAGGTCAATCGGTCCATTTCTTGGGTCTGGAGCATTGCGGACTGTTGGGGAATGGAGTTGGTTCCAAAACCTGTTGTTTTCTTACAGTCTGGCTTTCCCTCCCTCCACATTTAACCAGGCCTCCCGGTCAAGAACCTTGTAGGTCCCACTCTCAAGATCAAGCCAGTACTTCAGCCCCACTGTTTTGTTCGGCTCGATGTTGCCCCAGTCGATGTCTTTGATGGAGGCTTTGGAGTGCTTGAAAGTGGCACCTACATCGGGGAGTTGATAACCCACGTTTATCAATCTCGGCGCGGCGTATCGAGGGACGCCTTTCTTCTTGATGTTCTGGTACAGGTTTTTCATGAAGGTGGATTCTCGTGCGGCAGCCTGCTGCTCCCCTACAAGCTTTAGAATTATCAGTGCAGCGCCTGTCTGTCCATCGTATTTCTCAAGCCTTTTGCCGACGACAACCACGTCTGCCACATCAGGGAGCTCGCCGATATGATTGGCGATCTCGTTTGCAGACACATTTTCTCCCATCCACCGGTATGTGTCCCCGATGCGGTCGACAAATCGTACCCAGTTGGTAGTCTCCTCGACGAGAAGATCACCGCTTCGCTGCCAGAGATCTCCTTTCTCGAAGACGTCTCTCAGCATCTTCTTCTCTGTAGCCTCCTCGTCGCCATAGTAGTTTGTGTAAGTGTCCAAGGATTTAACTCTTCCGATTGCTTCGCCAGGCTCGCCCTTCTGTGCGATGATGCAGAATCCCGTTTTGGGATCACGGTATGGCATTTCCGTGTCGTAGTCAAACTTGACGATCCGTTGATCACTAGAGAGAAATTTCCTGCGAATCAGCCCTGCGTAGCCGACTTTCCCGGCACCCGGCGTCGATCTTCGATGAATGTTCTCGTAAGAAACCAGCCCTTCGCTCGATCGGTAAACTTCTCGGACTTCGGGGATGTTGAAGCGGTGCTGAAATGCAATCCATACATCTTTTTGTAAGCCATTGCCCAAGGCGACAGTTACGTTGTGGTTGCGGTCATACTCGCCAGGTGGAGTGGCTAGTAGAAACCGGAGAAGTTCGCCGACGTAGAGAATTCGCGTAGCCCGCGCTTGGTGAACCTCTTTGAAAAATCCTCTGGCAGAGAATTTTCGACCTAGACAGAAGCAGCCGCTGTTTCCTACCGAGGCGATGATACCTCCGAAGACAGTCGTTCCGTGGAAAAGCGGCATACATGAATAGACCCGAAGGGGAGAAAGGTACTTTTTCGGATTCGAGGCATCTTTGGAATTGGTGCATGCTACTACAGTGGCAAGGGCGTTCTTGATGTTACAGGCTTTCGGGTATCCCGTGGTTCCTGACGTGAAAACCAAGACTCCAGGGGATGCAAGAGTGGCCGGTGGCGGTGTCGGAAGGGGAGGTTGGGAACTAGGATCCTGGTGCGGAAAATCCATGACATCGCAGGCGGGAGTTTCGTAGGGACGAAACGTGCCGAGATTCAGGCAGGCAACTGTTACTGGCGTTTCGAGACATTTCAGTGCTGCAGCAACATGCGGTGCAATATTAGGAGAGGTGATAACGACCTTTGAGCCTGGGCGTCGAATGCAGTGAAGCAAGGTCTCATCTACGCATCAGACGAGAGCTTAGCGGTTGGTGCAAATACATGCTGCCGTCCCAGTGAGTCTTACCTCTCAGGGAATTGTTGACCAAAGCTGGAGCAGCACCCAGTTTGGTGATCGCGTAGATGATGAAGATCATCTCCGGACAATTGGTCATGAAGACGGTCACAATGTCTCCTCCACTGATCCCCAGCCCATAGTAGAGGCCGACTGCGAGCTCGTCGACTGTTCGCTTCAAAGAGCTGTAGGTCCAGGTCCTGCCTTCGAACCAAAGCGCGTCGTTCACAGGATTGGCAAGCTCGAGGACTCGGTACAGATTTGCTGAATTCGACCCCAGCTTTGCGAGATATTTTGCATATCGCCTTCCAAATTCCTGTGCCTTCCGGTAACTTGCGATGTCGCGACTCACACCCAGTTTGTGGTCGAGGTAGTACAGGGATGCGGCTGCCACACCGGACGTTGCGAGCATGGCCATCCTGACCACCAATCGGGAGATCCAATGACCAGAGAGAGAGTCAAGGCGACGAGAAATGGGGGTTATGACAAGTTGTGAGATTCAGAGGCCTGTTTTGAAGGTTGTGAAACCTGGTCAAGCAGTTGATTTAGGCTCTAGGATCTATAACCTTCTTACCACAACCGCTCCGAGGTGAAATCCGGAGTAAAACGAGGGCAAGCCTCGGATTCTGGCCATTCATGGAGATGATTAAGCGAGAATCTTTATTTCTCTGAATCAGGCTCCGAGTAATTAATGGATAGCATCGGATTTCCTGGGATGCATGCGGGTAACTGTCCGACCCAATAGCAACTTGTGGGTGTTCGAACGCCTGTCTTCGCATATTTCACCAACGTTGACGTTCGTCGTTGCTGACCTCTTCCTAGCCGTTGGAACAGATTTACACTCTCATCTTTTTTTCTGAGCTGAAGGACGCAAATAGTCTTGTTTCCCGGGGTTCTAGACTACACTGCCATTACTTAAATTTCAAACGTCACAGAACACTTCCCCAAAACCGCCACAATGGCACCTTGTCAGCAAATCAAGACAACAGCGACCGATCTTCTCAAAGTCCGGCAACCGACCCTGCTGACTGGAATGAATGTTGCAGCCAGTCCCAAACTTGCAGCCGCTGTCACCAATGCCGGTGGACTTGGTGTCATTGGTGGTGTGAGGAAGTTTTTCTCCGAGGCTTTCTTGTTCAGCGACTCATGCCATCTTAGGTCAGCCACAACCCGAAGATATTGCGGAAGCAAATCAAAGAGGGCAAAGGTCATCTGAAGCGCAGGAATGCGCCATTTGGTGTTGATCTATTCTTGCCTTAAGTTGGCCGTAGCGCTAGGAAAACGAAGGAAGAACCAGTCCGTGTGTGTCACGGTCTTGAGACGGAAGCTGATCTTGTGCAGCAAGGACTACACGAAAGGCAAGCTCAAGGAGATGATTGACATCATCATCGAGACCGGGACAAAGCTCTTTGGTAGAAAACCATATCTCGTGCGCAACATCCATTTCTGACAGGTCCCTAGTCTGCGCTGTCGGTATTTCCCCGGTTGAGGTTGTCGAGAAGTTGCACAAGCACGGAACTCTCTACATGGTGCGCCGAGACTGAAGATTCTGAAACCGGGAAACCAAAAGACGAATTGCCTTGGATGCACAGAACGTAATTGGTCACCCAAAGAACATTTATAGGTGTCTCGAACGAGGAGTGGACTTGCTTTGCTCCCAAGGTAGTGAAGCAGGCGGTCGTACGGTGACGGTGCTAACACTGACTTAGTTCTGAACTGAGGCGGATATGCACAAAGGGCGACATTCCGACGAGCATTCTCATCCCAGCCGTAGCAGACATTCTTCACAAGGAACCACCTCCAAGTATACCGGCAAGGCGGTTCAACTTGTGGCTGCCAGCGGCATGTATAGCGGTCGAAAGGTCGCTAGGCTGGTCAATAAGAGGAAGAGTGCAAAGGTGATTGTGGATGATGGCGTGTCTACCCCGTGGGGAATCAATGGGATGATTGTTCCTAAGAGTAGACTATAGAAATATGCTACAGTACGTGTGCAGGAATGGCATGGCATAGTTTGATGCGTGCACCTGTGAGACGCATTTCAGATGCCGAGATAAGTCTATGGGCAACCTAATCACTCACTAGGTCCATCCGTCCTGCAATTCTAGCCTGCTTGAACAGCTTGTATAACGACCATAAGATGCACAAGATGGTCCGATCAAAACCTTGTCGCTCCGGCTCGTAAATACCTCCCATCGGACACATTCAAGACAACTCGGCGAAGACAATATACCTCGGTTCTTTGCTACTGCGATCCCTACAATATTCTTTGTTCGTCCGCTGTTTTAATGTTTACTTCTATTTATTCATTGCCAGTCCCTAATCCGCTGATCCTTTGCAACAGTGGTGGGACACTCGCTCTACACTCCATTGTCTCGGATTTCTGTTCTTTTTACCGGCAGAACGGCCGGCCGTGAACTGTTTGTCCCTAGGTTTAGCGATGTGTTCACCCAGAACGTGAATTTACATGTGCCAGAAGGATCTCATTCCACAACAACTTGACCTCACCATGGCCCAGCAGATTTGTTTCGACGGGCTAGCCGTTGTCGTCACTGGCGCCAGCAGGGGCATCGGCAGAGCTTACGCTTTGTTCTTTGCATCAAGAGGAGGAATGGTCGTTGTCAACGACTTTGGCGGCTCCCTGAAGGGCGAAGGTACCAGCGCAAAGGTAGGTCTGCTACACCTTTTCATCCTCCATGAGAATCCTTGAACTCTACTGATGCCAGACAGGCCGCGGATATGGTAGTAGAAGAGATTAGAGCAGCTGGTGGCACCGCTGTCGCCAACTACGACAGTGTTGAAAATGGCGAAAGGATTATCGAGACAGCAATCAACGCCTTCGGCCGTGTCGATGTCCTCATCAACAATGCCGGCATTCTTCGCGATGTCAGCTTCGAAAACATGAAAGATTCCGATTGGGACCACGTTATCTCTGTTCACCTTAACGGCGTCTTTAAGTGTTCAAGAGCTGCCTGGGTACATTTCAGGCGACAAAATTATGGCCGGATTATCAATACCACGTCTGCTGCCGGTCTCTTTGGTAGCTTCGGTCAAACGAACTACTCAGCTGCAAAGCTTGCCCAGGTCGGTTTGACCAAATCACTCGCAAAAGAAGGCGTGAAGTACAATATTTTGTGCAATGCTATTGCCCCAGTTGCCGCTAGCCGGATGACTGAGACCATCATGAACCCCGATCTCTTAGAGAATCTCAGACCCGACTGGGTTGTTCCTCTCGTTGCAGTTTTGGCATCCGCGAAGTCAAAGGAAAGCGGGTCAGTCTTCGAAGTCGGTGCAGGACGTGTTGCAAAGTTCCGATGGGAGCGTTCACAAGGCCTCCTACTCAAGACTGACGAGACATATACCGCGGGGGCGATCCTCAAGAGGTGGCCCGAGGTGATGAATTTCACCAGTGCGGATCATCCAACCGGCCTTGCTGACATGGTTGCCAAAGTGAAGCAGGCTCAAGATTTGCCAAAGAGCCAGTCCAATAAGGAGATTAGGCTGGATGGCAAAGTAGCTCTAGTTACAGGTGGTGGGACAGGGTAAGCATCTCTTGCCGCATTTCTATTTGTCATTGACTTCTATCTAACTCTTTCAGCCTGGGTCGGATTTATTCGTTGGCTCTCGCGAAACTTGGCGCATCGGTCGTTGTAAACGATATGGCCAATGCCGAGAATGTAACGAACGAGATCAAAGCTTCTGGCGGAAAGGCTACAGCGAACAGCTCGTCCGTGGAGGACGGGGCATCGGTGGTCAAGACCGCAATCGACATTTACAACAGAATCGACATCTTGATCAACAACGCTGGGATAGTAAGAGACAGGTCGTTTGCGAACATGAGTGATCAAGAATGGCATGCTGTCATTGACGTGCACTTGCGAGGAACGTACAGCGTCACCAAAGCAGCGTACCCCTATATGCTGAAGCAACGATTCGGTCGGATTGTGAATACCACCAGCCCGAGTGGCATCTATGGTAACTTTGGACAGGCGAACTACTCGTCGGCGGTAAGGATGAAATAGGCAAATAATCTTGGGAGTATTACTAACGCTTACCTAGAAAGCTGGCATTCTAGGCTTCAGTCAGGCTCTCGCCCTTGAGGGTATGAAAAACAATATCCTTGTTAACACCATTGCACCAAACGCCGGTACTCAGATGTCTAAGGGTGTTCTTCCGAAGGAACTGTATGACGCCTTTAAACCGGAATATATTGTTCCCCTGGTCACCTTACTATCTTCGGATGCAAGTGTCAACCCCCCAATCACTGGCATGCTATTTGAAGTCGGTAGCGGATGGCAAGCCCGAACGAGATGGCAAAGATCTGGGGGCCACAACTTCCCTCTAGATACGAAGTTAACCCCAGAGCAAGTCGTTGAGAAGTGGTCTGAGATTATAGCATTTGACGGGCGGGCTGATAACCCGGAAAGTGGAGCTGATGCAGTAGCAAAATTTATAGCTCACGCCGGAAGTAAACCCAGCGCCTCACTCAGCAAGACGGATTATTTATCGCTCATCGAAGCCGCGAAGAAGGCGAAACCGATACCGACAGAGTTTACCTATACGGATCGCGATGTGATCCTCTATAACCTCTCGCTCAACGCAAACGCCTCACAGCTTTCTCTGGTATACGAAAACGACAAAAATTTCCAGCCATTACCAACCTTCGGCGTCATCCCCTTCTTTAGCGCCGTTACACCATTTAAGTTGGAGGACCTTGTGCCCCCGTACTCGCCGAGTATGTCGCTCCATGGGGGTCAATATCTAGAGATCCGAAGGTTCCCTATTCCGACGTCGGTAAAGACTGTGTCTTATCGCAAGCTAGTTGAAGTCGTCGATAAGGTCAAATCCACTGTTATAGCCTTAGCCACGGTAACTCAGGATGCAAAGACCGGAGAGGATCTCTTCTACAATGAATCGACCCTCTTTATCCGTGGTGTGGGCAACTTTGGTGGACAGAAGAAAGTGAGCCTACGAGGAAATGCTACGACAGACTTTATGCCGCCGCGGCGCGCACCTGACGTGGTTGTGGAGGAGAAGACGAGCAGAGATCAAGCCGCCCTCTACCGCCTCAATGGGGACAGAAATCCTCTTCATATTGATCCTGAATTCAGCAGTGCTGGTGGATGGAAGGACCCAATTCTACACGGCCTCTGCTCGTTCGGGATCAGTGGTAAACACATTAAGCAAAAGTTCGGCTTGTTCAAGAACATTAAAGTTCGCTTTGCAGGGGCTGTGGTTCCAGGACAGACATTGTTGACGGAGATGTGGAAGGAAGGAAACATCATTGTCTTCCAAACTCGAGTCAAGGAAACTAGAAAGTTGGCGATCGCGGATGCTGGCGCGGAACTGGTTGGAGCGCAACGTCCGAACTTGTAATCATCGTTGAAGCGTGAGAGATAGATGGAGAATCAGAATGAAATACTTTCTACACATCAAGGGAAAGCGTCAGTCTTAGTTGACGCAGGTGCTCACCATCAAAACAGTGCAGTCCCCTCTCAATCATCTCCCAGACCAGTCATCCGTCTTCGTGATATCGATGTATACACGATCTATGATTCTTTTGCTCTGAGACATATTACAAAGATAAGGGTGGCAGCGCTGATGGCAAGCTACAGTCCTCATGAGACCCACGTGGATATAGAAAATCCGAACAACGGATAGACATTGCTAAGTTGTTTCTCCTTACAGATTTCTAGGTGTCCAAGATTTGCCATGATTTCAAGGCGCCGTTCGCTTCTCTGAGTCCTTTCTCAACGGCTGCTGCTTTGATGTATACAAGAGAAGCAACAAGTCCTCATGACATGGGCCATTGGCCAATCTAGAAACAGACTCTTTAGCGAATAGCTCAGGACTTGCAAAATGCAGCCTGCATCAGCATCTTGAAAATCTTCAGATCCTCCGCGGCATCCTCCAGCGTGGTCTTAGGACGCTTGTCCTCCGTAATGGAGTTGTACCAGGCCTTCAACTCGAGCGTGTAGTTGTCCTCGTATGTCTCTCTGACAATTCTCTCCTGGTATGCAGTTTGTCCATTCCGGCCGGTAATTCTCTCTCTAACCTTCATCATCGTCGGCAATCCTTTGATATATGGCTGTTCATACTTCACCTGTACGATTTTGTCCTTGGTATAGATCTCGATATGCGTGTCAAAGTCGGGCACGGAGTTCATCCCGGACTCATATGTGACAGAAAAGCCGTCATATTCAAGGATCGCAGACCAGATCGGAGGCTTTAAGTGCGCTCCTGCCACAGCCCGTGGCAATCCAAGCGATTCTCGCATTGCTGACAGGTCGTGTGTCCCTAGTGCACCGAGCCAGAAAAGAATGGTCCTGGTTTGGTCGTTAACGGGCACTCCGAACTCAGCCAGCGCCTGGTCTTTCATATCGATGTCTTTCTCCAGCAACTCTTTCCTGACGGCCGGAGAGATGTCGTTGAACCGCTTGGGGAACATGCCGGATTGCTTGACATAGTCCGAATTTTGCCCCATGATGGCGCGGATTCGGGCATATTGAATCTGGCTCCGATCGCCAACTTCCTCGAGAGCGGAGAGAAAGGCGGGTGCATAACGGCGCATGTATGCCACGAATATCGAGCATTTTGACTTTTGCTCAGCCTCGGTCAGAATTGCGATGTCCCGGAAGTTATAGGTGACGGGTTTTTCGACGCAAACATGCTTATTGTTTTGCAACGCAAGGGTCATGTGGATTGTATGGAGAGCCGAGTTGCTGCATATGATGACACCGTCGACGTCCGGAGAGGAACAAATTTCCATCGCAGATGTGGTGAGTTTAGGCGTGGGCTTAATAAGACGGCTGCAGTACTGGAGCACATTTTGCGAGACATCACAGAGTGCTGTGATACGGAAGTAATCGGTGAGTACTGTTAAAACGGGAAGATGAACTACCTGAGTACTTCATCAGACAGTTTGAGATAGGAACGGTCGTTTTGGACCCATACCTGCATCAGTTCACCACAGCCGATTACGCCGACACGGATGACTTTGTTCTCTTGATTCGCGGACATCTTGTTCGGCCAGGCTGTGCCCGTTTGTTCGAAAATGTTTATTGCGACTTGGGAAAGCTAGCCTCTTTAACCGTAGGAACATATTCAACCTTTTTATCCGTCTTTGTTGGACCTGGTTTTACTAATCTTTGTCCGAATCCGAAACTTGTGGAATTGTTGCAAGGCCGAGGCAATGAATGCTCGGCCAAGTCGTCGGGAGTCGCGGTGGGTCTCGGAGAACACGAGTGTGAGTAATGGGTGCAATCTTGGTCCTGGGCCCCCAACCGGAGTTTGAGATCGTATATCTAACGCTCTGCTATCCATCAACTACCCCGTTGAGCCGAACCCATGTACTATTGATTCCAATGGATTTGTGACCTGGTGCAATAAATGCAGCTCAAGGTAAAGCAGCTTCAAATAATTTCGCAAGAATTATGCTGTGTCATGGAGGTTCTGCTTTGGTCTTACATCAATATCGAACCTTCTACGAACAGAAGTTCAAGAATCAAGTAGGAGTACTGTAGCCCAACACCAAGAAGTATTGTAACTCCACAGACTCTTACAATTTACCTTGCCTTGCACTGTGGTTTTCTGGTCGAAGGCAGAAATTCTGAGCCCCTTTTGGCAATTCTCTCCTACTAAACGCACCTAGGTAAATTTTCTGCATGAACGTTCTTCCCGCCCCAAAAGCCCACAGCACTCACCGCTGTGGGTAGACCGTCCCTCGTGGCAATACTTACATCCGGGAAGTTCGTTGCCATCCCTGCAGCCACTCTCACAGCAGTCTCAACGACGCCGTTGTCATCCTCCACCTAAGCACCTCCCCTGTGCCAAGATTTCCTCCGGTACTAAGGCCTGTGTCGGTTGCTCTTTGGCGACTAATTTTTGCAAACAAGCCTGGGAAGATTCCCGCCGAGACATATGAAGCCGAGTTTGACACCTTGGACGGCAAGGCTGGCGTTGGTGGATGCACGAATATGTCATCGTTGATTATCATCTCAGCCGGGCCGCCAATACGAAGCCCATCAAGAGCGGCGGTAATGGGCCTCCTGCCCGTAGCAAGCTTAGACCATCAAGACCCGTTGGTTGATAACATGCCTCGCTTATCTTGGGAATGGTGTCCTATTCTAAGACTTGTTAACACTCCGTACTCAAACATGATGCTATCAAAATGGTATGACAAGGACGCAGCATAAACTTTGTAAATTAGCACCACAGCTAAATGTAGCCCCTTTCTATTCCCTACTAGAACTAAGTCTAGGCACCATGTAATGTGCCAACCGTGTAGTGTGCCACTTGTCATGAGTACTAACTACTCAATATTATCGTACATTATCTACTCTATAGACTCATTAATATTAAATTAATGTACAAAAGGTGTTAGGACGTCATCTAACTACCTATTCCGCGTAGTATTTCTAGTATTCGGTCGTATAGAAGGCCTCGTCGTCGCCTCTAAAGCCTCCATACCCTACCTAGCCTACCTAATTATCTCGATACTCGTAAAGACCTTATTATAGTCGATTACGACTCGCCGTTACCTCGTAGTAGTTAGCTTATTTAGTTATATACGCTAAATAGTAAGTTCCTACGATTTTAGGGCGATATTCTACTATAGTCGATTAAATGCCTTGCTCGTTTTTTAAAGTAATCGACGTACAGAACGAGAAAGTATCTCCTAGGCTGAAATCGAGTCTATTTCTCGTCGTACTTACTATCGAGTAAGTGGCGTATAAATATTATGCGATACGTATTAAGCTTACTTACGTGACGGCGGCGTAGTCGGTAGTATTTACTCGTTTTAAAGGTTTTATAGGACTTAATAAGATCGGATGACTTTACGAGGGTCCTAAGGATAAATACTAGCCGTATTCCATCCCGCGCGTATACGAAACGATAAAAGACCCTTATTACTTACTTTTTTATAGGTTTTAAGAAACTTACTCTTCTTTACGGCCGCGGCGTCGTCGTACCTAGCTAGGTTAGCGATTTCGTCTCGGTAGCGACATTTAAGGAGCGAATAGTAAGTAAGATTAAGTAGCTATAGGATATAACTTAAATAAGGTATTAAATAGACTAGAGTAATACGATTTATATAATATTCCTATATAAACTCGTACGTCGTATAACTTTTATATCTATCGAGTAAAAGGAGTCGATAGTCGTCCGTTACCGTTTATAGGATGAATATTTAACGTAGCTAGGCTAAACCGATCTTATTTAAGGTCTATCCATTAGGTGAAACCGTATAGGAGTAGTTTAGAGTATTAGAGTCGGTAAACTAGGTCGTTTAAAGCGCTTTTCCTTTAAATATAACGAGATATTATAGCCGACGACTAATTACTAAGATTATCTCGATAATAGAGACCTATTCACGGTTTTCTAGTGTTACTTTATATAATTAAGTAGTATTAACTCTACTAATTACTCGTTAATTAGTATAGACACCTAGAGCGATGCCTATCTCGTCTATATTATAGATATTCTCCTAGGAAACTTAATATCGCTCTCGTACGGTATTAAAATACTTAAACTAGCGATTTAGGAACTTAGGAGTAGTACTCTAGAGACGTAATCTATAAATCTTTTTACCTACTTTAGAGCGAATCTCTAGATAACGTTATATAAATCGTAATATCTAGTTTTAGCCGATACTTAAGGGCCCCGTAGAATTACCTTAAATAATTATAACGAGATCTCGTATTTAAGTAAAGCTAGGAGGGTATCCTTACGCCTTAAGGTTAAGTATCCATCGTATAAGTATTTACTCTTATTAATTTAATAGTAGTTACTATAGTTTACGAGTAATTACTCGTAAAGTACTACCCTATAGTCGACGGCCTAGTATTATACGATTAACGTTATTTACTACGGCAGTAGAACGAATAGTTAGATATCGACGGGTTTAATAGTCTAGAATAGCCTGCTGGATTCTAGTCTCTTAATTTAATGCCATTTTAGCTGTAGAAAGAGTATTGTGTACGAGTAGTTGTGTGTCGAAGAGGAGGAGTAGTTGGAAAACGCGACGCGGGACGCGTGGCACACTACACGGTTGGCACATTATATGGTGCCCAGACTTAGTACTAAAATTAACTACTTTTTACGTCTTATTCTTCTTACGTATACTATTATAGCGGAAGCCGATCTTGACTAATTGGACGCTAGACTCCCGTGATCTACTGTAACTCGGTCGAATACCCCAGTCGGGGGTCATGGGGTAACTTGGAGGACTCCGACGTCAAAACGACTCCGAAACCACACCATGACGTGACTATCTTCTAGATTAACCTCGCGTAGGAATGATTAAGTCATTTGCAAAAAGCATTAAGGTATTCTTCTACGCCCAACGTGCTTTTCTAGTGCTATACTCAGCTGTTCATGACTCACAGCTTGATTTTAATTAAAAAGTCCTGCCCACTAGGTAAACTCGCGAAGACAACGTCCGGATCTCAATCAAGATCCGTTTAGAGATGGGCTCTCAAGCCAAGGTAGCCTTTGTTTCTGGGGGCAATGGAATCAGTGGGAATGCAATAATTGAGCAATTGATTCGTACTTCCTCCGATGATTGGTTAGACCGACTTCTCTGCAGAACTGAAGAATAGCACTAAGTGGTTACCAGGTCCAAAATTATTGTCTCCTCCAAAAGCGTGCTTCTCGAACGGTGGCAAGATCCCAGAATCGAGTTTATCGCACTAGATTTCTTGGAGCCAGTGGATTCGATCATTAAACAGATGACACCGTCCTGTCAGGCTATTACACATGCCTTTTATACTTCATACGTCCACTCCGAAGATTTTGCCAAACTTCCAGAGTACAACATTCCACTCTTCAAGAACTTTTTGACCGCTGTCGATTCTGTCGCGGGGAAAAACCTGTTGAGGGTTTGTCTCCAAACGGGCGCCAAAGTAAGCTCTACTAAACCGCCTCAGAGAGTCCCATTCAAGCTCATTCAGGCTAATTAATGTGCAGAATTATGGACTGCATCTTGGACCTATGGTCCATTGTCCAGCGACAGAAGATCTTCCTCGGTATAACGACAAAGGCGAAAATTTCTACTTCGCTCAAGAGGACTATCTCTTCGAGCTTGCAGCAAAACGGCACTGGCATTATTCGGTGATTCGGCCCAAAGCTATCATAGGTTATAGCCCCAGCAGTAAGTTAATTCGCAACATCATCAGCAGTAGAGCTGACGGTTTTGCTTATTTTCAGAAAATGGTATCTCTGAATCCATTACATTAGCCATCTATTTCCTGATCTGCAGGGAGCTGGGTGAAGAGGCACGCTTCATGGGCAACAGGTTCTTCTGGGAAAGCACCGATGATCAATCGTATGCTCCCAGCCTTGCAGACATGACTCTTTGGGCCATGACAGAGGAAAACACGAAAAACCAAATTTTCAACCATGCGAACGGCGATGTCGTTGTCTGGAGGCACTTGTATCCAAAGCTTGGCGCCTACTTCGGTGCCAGAGTAAGTCTTTGCGCCTCGCTATTGTCCCACGCTCCCCGTTCTAATATGCTCACTTTTTAGACTGAGGATGCCACATCTTCGGCTGCTCTTCTTAACGAGCAAGCAGCACCAACCTTTTCAATGGCTGAATGGGCGAAGGATAAGAGAGAAGTCTGGGATCGAATCTGCACAAAATATGGCGGCAATGAAAAGGCGTTCGACTGGGCCACATGGGATGCCATGGACTGGGTCGGCTCTATGACCTGGCTTACTCTGGTTTCTCTGCAAAAGGCGAGGCGTTTTGGCTGGAGCCGATACGATGACACCTTCGAGACTTGGATTCAGACTTACAAGACGTACGAAATGGCAGGAATTTTGCCACCACATGATGAGATGGTGCCGGTATATAAGAGCCCTATCAACAATGCATAGTTCTACGACGAGAGTCAGGAGATTCGTGGTGACACATGTGATCAATGCTTACATCTCAATTATCACTGTAAATGAGAGACGATTGCGATATGCAAGGAGCGAATTTTACTAGTCTCGCCTTCATGATGCTACGTCTAGAACTGACCGCGAAGTGGCCGTCTGTTCGAGCAGCTATAACTGTAATTCAAGGACAACACGTTTTCTTGACTTTCAAACTTTCTTTTCAACTTGTGCAATTCATGCTCACACCCCCTGTAAAAATCAGTGCAACTGTAAGAAAACCGTGGATACAACTTATTGGGTAACCAAATTCTATTTTGACTCCTAGCAAGGGAAAGAAAGATTGAACTGAGAAGCAGAGTTATGCTAGAGTTGTGTAGAAGAGTGTATTTTGCTCGACGCTTGGGCGGCTCGACACTGCTTGCGGATGACTCATGTCTCCCTGTATGTAGATCCCATGTGCACAATGCCGCCGGGGTTGGGGTATCCGGGTTTTGGAGCCTATAAGCGGCATTTTCCCGACACTGAAGCTATCTCATAACGATCATTCGGTCATTAACGCACACAAGGTTCGAGACTTTGCCGCAACACCCATCGCAGCCAAGTCAGCCAGTGAAGGAAACCTAGGATCGGAGATGTCTCTAGTAAGTATTTACGGGCCTGGAGGTTGTAGTATCTCTTGCCCACTAGACAGGAATGACTCAAGATTGACATTTATTTAGCAGGAAAACCTCGTTTTCAACCATGTCGCCATTGGAGTCCCGAACTTGGAGAACGCTATCCTTTTTTATACATCCGTTCTAGGATTTCGACTTCTGAAGAACACGGAACGCAGTCGCAACAAGACCCCGAACTCGCCCATCTTTGCCATGTACGGCGCAAAACTTCAGCAGGTCAAAGTCGCGTTCCTTGCCACGGGGAACGGTGTCGGATTCGAGATTTTTGAATTCGTTGATCCGCCGCACCAAGGGATTCACGATAGCTTGGGTACTTTTGAAGAAGGGGGCTACGCCAGAGGGGGGTTTTTCCACATCGCCATTACCTCTGCGGATCCTGCTGCCGTCGCAGAGCGTGCCGTCAAAGGCGGAGGACACAGGATCTCAGAGGAGGTGGATTTGTTTGGTGAGAAGGCGGTATACATTGCTGACCCGTGGGGAAATGTTATCGAAGTCATGAGCTGCAGTTTCGAGCGTCTGGTGGTCGGGAAAACTCCTTCGTAGCGAGTGACATACTACACAAAATCACTACCACTTCTTCCTGTCTCCAATAAGGGTGAGCCATGTTGGTCTAGCTTACATTAGTTCTTAGAGCATTAATCCTGTCTTGTACATTGGAGCGATGGGTTTCGCATTCTCCGTCGGACGGACCATGTTGCGAACTCGCGAGACAAGTAGAGATCGTTCAATTGTGACTCTGCAAGCACTCGTGGCAGCAAGTCCTGCTACTTTAAAGTGGAATCAAATATTTTTGAGTTGTTGTGCCAATCTCAAGATCCACGTTCATTGACCTAGCAACAGTGAAATGGTTCATGACTTATGCTGCTATCTCATGAATCTCAATATTAGAAATCTAATTCGCCGAGTATCTAGCACTCCCCTGAATTTAAGAAACTTCTACCCCAAACACTCAGGTCTTGACCGAGCCCTCTGCTAGCAGCCACAACGACTTAGGTCTACCTCATATTGTCTCCCTAAATAACTCGTAGGACTCTCTGCCTCGCCAAGCATAACAACGTTGCCGTCTGCAGCGCGTCGACACTGGATTGGCGTTACAGGTAATTTAAGGCATCGCATTATGTTTCTCGGTTAGCTGTCTTGCCAGATATTGCTTGACAAGTTCCTTGCCGTAGTCGTTTCCGTTCGGGGTTCTGACAATGGTGTGTATGTGGAAAGGCAAAGGCTCTTTGTTTGTCAAAAACACACCAGAGTGATGATCGAACTCAATCAGTAGAACAGGTGAGTGTATTTTGTAGTAAAATGCATCATCGTCCTGGAATTTGCCGATCCACGCAATGTGCGTCTCATCCCAATGTGAAACTATCTCACTCATGCGAAAATCCAATACACGAGTTGGCAGATAGTCAAGTGTCCTGTAGATTATCTGCTTCAAAACTTTTTGCTGACCATCCGGCAAATCAGTCACCAAGAGCCCTTCATAAGGAATCACACGATTGTCTTGGAAGGCTCCCCCTAACGTGCGCTGGTCAGCTCGGTGGTACCGCCCTTCAGGCATGGATGGATCAAACAACTTGTCATAAAGTTGAACCTTGGACTGCAAATCAGAGTCAAGGGACTGCATCAGTTGACGGGCTTGATCTTCCTGCTCTCGAAAGAGCACCACGCCAGCTTCAGGTCCTTCATCAATAATGTTGGGCTCCGCCCCCATGAATACTGGGGAGACTACAAGTTGGGTTCCGGCGACCAGACAGTTGAGACAGAGATGGTGGCCATACAGATTCCAACCCCAGGGTGCTGTGAGCGATGGCGTTCCGAACAAGGAAAAGTTGTATGACTTCTCGTTCATCACGCCCTGGCCGTTCACCAGACCTCCTAAGAATCGATTGATTTTCATGCAGTTAACTGCTTTCTTGTACCCCACAGGACTCAAGCTGGCTTCGAGCAAGCGATGAATCGCGCTGAAAAGGCCGTCGGAAGACTCTTCAAGTCGAATTCCGTTTTTGAACACATAGATCTCTGGGTTGATCCATGTCCGCCATTCGTTAGCAACCAGAGCATAAGTCAGGGCCTGTCTTTCTGCTTCGGTGGCACTTTGGAGTACACCTTCGGCGGCTTCCACCATGTTGGGGGTCGGAGCACCATGATCTTGGTTCTCACTTGCTAGTGGATACAGGCGAGGGACGAGATTGTTATCAATTGTGATGCCTTTAAAAGGTTGGTCGAGCAGTAATGCCCATGACTTGATCCAGTTCCCAACGAAGTCATCGGTCTTGAAAATCTCTCCCCATTCGTGAGCATCACAGTCAGGTTTATTGAGAAGAAGTTTCTGTCTTGGGTGATCAGGTCCGGGAAGGTAGTCTCGAAAAGATGTATGACGAGTCCGGTTCATGATGATGTTGATTGAAGACATTTAACTTGTGGGCGGCTTTGTGAGTCTTTTTATGCCACGTGTGCTCTCGGACATTCTCCATGACCGCGGAAGCAGGAGTGTACAGTAACTTCCGGTCCGAATGAGAACCATTCTGAGCCCCGCACGTATTCCACCCTTCAGTTTATAATGATCACCTGCTCTGTGCTCAAGAACTTATCCCTTAGTCTGATCCTCAAGTCACTGTCGCGCACAGTAATCCACACAACGGGTTTCCTTTGGCCATCACGCAACTCCGGAATCCTACCATGGGCTCTCTTCGCAAGGTTGGTGACATCGAAGTCCTGCACGTCAAATCGACGCCAGTCGGCATAGCAGAGAAACCCACCAGTCAATATAACGGCTTTTCGCCCTCCAAAATACTCCTTCCGAGGGGTCACAAGTTGACGGATTCCAATCGATCCTTTCCAGTGGACACCATATGGGAGAGAGATATTGCGATTACAATGCGAGATGGAGTGAAGCTTTATGCAGATGTTTTCCGGCCTTCCAACGAAAGTCTTAGAGTACCGGCTATCATGGTATGGAGTCCATACGGTAAAACTGGCACTGGGTACTTTTCACTCGACAATATCCCATGTCGGGTTGGAGTTCCTAAAGCAAACCTCTCTGGATACGAGAAATTCGAAGGTCCTGATCCCGCCGAGTGGATCCAGCACGACTATGCCATTGTGAATGTGGATCCACGTGGTGTGTTCGCGTCAGAAGGCGACATTTGCTTTTTTGGGACTGCTGAGGGCAGGGATGGCTTCGACACTATTGAGCATCTTGCGAAGTTGCGATGGTGCAATGGAAAGGTCGCAACAATGGGGAACTCCTGGCTTGCCAGTGCTCAGTGGTTCATCGCCGCCGAACGGCCGCCATCATTGGCTTGCATGTTGCCACTGGAGGGGCTCAGCGACTTTTACCGAGAAAACTTTTGTCGTGGCGGTGTTCCAAATTCCACCTTTTTCGGTCCATACATGTTCAGGAGGCTTTTCGGTAACAGCAAAACAGAAGATGTCGCATCTATGCTGAAACTGTATCCCTTCATGAATGGTTATTGGTTAGACAAGCGGGCTAAGATTGAAGAAATCAGGACTCCAGCCTACGTCCTTGCCAGTATGTCCACCTGTTTACATACTGTCGGATCGCTCAGGGGGTTTGAGGAAATCCCACACGAAAAGAAGTGGCTTAGACTCCATCCCACCCAAGAATGGCATGACTTATATAAGCCAGAAAGCAACGCAGATTTCAAGAAGTTTCTTGACTTCTACACCAAAGGAATAGAGAATGACTGGGAGTCAACGGCTAAAGCTAGGATTTCTGTGTTGCGATATAACGAACCACCACTGTACAATCTCTCTTTCTCGACTTGGCCCATCCCAGAGACACAGTGGCGGTCTCTCAGGCTCTCCTCGAATTGGAAGCTTACCGAAGACAGCCCAGACAGTGGCAAGGCAAGCTATCAAGCCGACATAGTAGGCCAACAGGACGGCAAAGACCAAGAAGAGCTTTCATTCACATTTACATTCCCGGAAAGGTGTACTCTCATTGGGCCTGCCAGGGCAACTCTCTATGTTTCATGCGCTGAACATGACGAGATGGATGTCTTTGTGCAAATCAGAAAGGCCGACAAGGATGGCAATGTCTTGAGCAACTCCAATATCCCACTACACGAGCTTGGCAAGTCATCGTTGGACGAAGTACCGGAAATCAACGTCTTGAAGTACTTAGGACCGACGGGAGTGCTGAGGGCAAGTCACCGGGCCATAGACCCTTCGCTGACGAAGCCGCACTGGACAGCGCACGATCACACAAAAGAGGCGAAGATCACCCCTGGCGAGATCGTCAAGCTTGATATTGGTATTTGGCCAGCTTCGATACAGTGGAGCGCAGGAGAAAGATTGGTTTTCAAAGTAGCAGGGCACTCAATGACTCTGGCCGAGTTTCCAGTCCTGCAGGGAACGTATACCACAGCGAACAAAGGAAAGCACACTTTGTATTTCGGAGAGGAATACAAAAGCAGCCTTCAGATTCCGGTCGTTATAATTTAGCAATAAGGCAGTCGTCAAGGCTCCAGAGCATTCTTATATGGGTCTAGCTAGAGTTCTGGCAACTCTCAAAATAACCGCAGGATTCACTCCTCTGAAGTGGCAGCGCTGCTCTTAGTTGAGTGGCGCAGCCGATGAAACCTATGACTTAGATTTCAATAATCCCTGCGATGATATACAACTTTCTTTCCTAATCTTGCGCATCCTACAAGGAAAGGATGTCCCGAATTATAGACAGACGGACATGGTTCGATTTGTTGTATATCGGTGCTGACTTCATCTTACGCTTGCAGAATCGGCATTTCTTCGCTTGGTCAGATGTGTTGGCGTAATGATCGAGGGTGATGGCATGAATCTCAATGACTGCTCCATCATTATGGTCGGACAGCCAGGTTTTCGGCCTCCCCAGCCCAGCCTTGTGCGGAACGCTTTGGTGGTTCAGCACCGAAGTGGGACACGCTACTGGGGAAGATTCTCAGCGAACCTCGACTCTCGGCAGCAACTTACTTGAAAGAGTAACAGTTTTCCGACTCGCCACTCAATGGGGAACCCACAGCCACCGGTGTCATCAGCCAGGGACCCGGATGAGGGGGAATTCTGGAGAAGCAGCTTATCTTTCTATTGGGCTTTTAATACCATCAACTCCGCTGCTAGGCAGATCTCTCACTGGGGTAGGCCGAGTGCGCCAAACATTACAGGACCCTTTGCCATCGCCTACTTCACAAATCGAACACCCTCAGCGCACCACCAGTGCGACAACGCTGGTCATCCTCAGCGGCTTTTCATTTGGCCCGTGTGCTAGAAAAACAGTGCCAACAGCCACAATCCACGGCGCAGTGCTCAAAAAATGACAGCCCTTGCTCAGATCAGTTCGGTCCCCCGCGCGCAACTGGTGCTGGTAATTGCAATCGCCTTGTTTTGGCTGAGAGTAAGGCAGGTGAACTAAGGTTGGGAGAACTGTTTGCTGATTTGAATCAAGATTTTTCGACGTGCGTTTTTCGGGCCACTGCGCAAAATTCCTGGTCCTTGGTATACTTTGTTTAGCACACTGCCACTCCGGTATCATGCGATGAAAGGTCGTAAAGTCTTCTGGGTTCACGAATTGCACCAAAGATATGGGCCTGTGGTGCGAATATCTCCGGACGAGGTGGATGTCGCCGACGCGGAAGCATTCAATGAGATTCACAAAATCGGAAGCCCTTTGTTGAAGAGCCCATGGTACGTGAAATTTAGAGGGGAAGTTAACTGTTTCACGTGCGCGGACCCCAAAGTACATGGGCGGAAGAGAAAGACTTTGGCGAGACCTTTTAGTAAATCTTCTTTGCGAGATCACTGGGAACCAGTCGTCCGCGAGCTCGCCAGGAAGACAGTGGCACGGGTGAAAAGCGAGGCGGAACTGGGAACAGCAGACCTTCTGAAGTGGTGGACTTTCTTTGCCACCGACGTGACTGGAGAGGTCGCCTTTGGTGAGAATTTTGGGTTGGTGGAATCAGGGCAGGTATGAGAAACACCCGCTCCAGGTATTTGGCGAGGTGTCTTTTCATGATTCCCGCAACGGTGCAGACTCCGCTAACCAACATGACGAAATCAGAAACCAAAGATTATCTTGGATTTGGAGGACGTTAATAGAGCAAGAGCGTTGAGAGCTGAAGCAGGAGTATTGTATGATCTGGCCAAAAGCTGTACCTTTGGCTACTTTGATCCTCTCGGCAGGGCAGACCAGAACATTGAACGCATGAGTTTCGAGCTCATGCGAGCTGCGAGACAGAGGAGTCTTTCCAAGGCCAACATCATTTCCGGAGTCTTGAACGAAGCCAACCCAGAAGATCGTTTCAGCGAGAGAGAGGCTGTTCTCGAGGCCATTATGATAGTGGTCGCAGGCTCGGGGACTACGGCTATCACACTCACTTTTCTGTGCTGGGCTGTTATGGCGAACCTTGCATATCAAAAACGCCTTGAGGAGGAAGTGGCTTCGCTTGACTCGGGCTTCAAGGAAGCCGACCTTGAAACCCTTCCATTCCTGAACGCGGTGGTTCAGGAGACACTTCGACTGTATGGAGCAGCGCCAGGAGCCTTGCCACGTGCATCCCCAAAAGGTGGCTGCCAGCTGGCTGGATTTCATATTCCTGGGGACTTAACAGTCAACACTCAGGCCTTCAGTTATCACCGTGATCCCGCTGTGTATAGCGATCCTTTCAGGTGGGTTTCCCTCTTACTCTCCACAAGTCCTTGATCGTTTTTGACTAGTGACTTCTACAGATTCAATCCGGAGCGTTATCTCGAAGGCAAAGTGGGTGGACAAGCGGTCTTCGCGCCCTTTGGATCTGGAAGTCGCACATGCCTCGGGATTCATCTTGCCTATCTCGAACTCCGTATGGCGACTGCTCTTTTTTTCCGAGAATGTGCAGGTGCACGACTGGCCTCGGAAACGACTCCAGAGTCCATGGAGATCGTCCAACACTTTTTGATAGCACCCAAGGCTCATCGCTGCCTGATTACACTGTAACATGTATCTTCCGCAGCGCGTAGTGCTAGACTATCAATCAAACATGTTTTGTTTAGAGTGGAAAAATATTTCGTAGACCCTTCAAGGTGCTCGGTGTACAATGTGTCGTTGTTCGAAGCCAGCAACCTACCTCTCCCCGATCGGCATGGAGGCCCCAGGGAGCCGGCTCTGATTGTCGGATCGGTCTCAACATTATTTGTAACCCATTTCTTGCTCTCTTTGTTAAACGACGCTACTCACCGGGGCACAATGCGACATCAGTGCTAGGAGATAAGAGGCGATAGCCCCAACATGTGTGGACCCACCTCGCACCTATGCGTGGGGAATCCGATGGACGGCTGCCCCCCTTCGTGAGATTCTTCCAAGCGCTGTATTAGCAACCAGCTTGTCAAGTTGTCCAACACATCGCATGCACGACGTTGAAATTTGGTCTTTCAGACGCATTCACCCGTTCGTGTGAGCCGCCCAGGTTTGTCGTCGGAGTTCTAGTGTCATCTGGAAAAGTGAAGGCGAGATGGGAGATTGGGAGTCGGACGAGTTCATGTCGGATTGGGACAAAACGTACGTATCGACCAACGTCAAGCCTGGGTCCAGATCGTATGACAAGGATTTCTTTCTGGGATTAAGGTCGAGCTTTCAAGATCAGCCGCCGCTCGAGTCAATTTCTGATGCGATAATTGTTAGTATTAAACTACTTGTGCTTCTGGATCGTTCCTTATTTTCAGCGGCCATTAGCGGTCTGATGATCTGGTTACTAACTTTGCATTCGGCCAGGCCACGGCTTGCTGCGCCGTTGGCCGCGCAGATGTCGTCGGTCGCTTCTTTGACGACATCACCCACGATCTGAGCCCTGAAGAATCCCAAGCAATTTTCCTTCGTCTGAGGGAATCGATCACCTTTGTGTTCCCCTATCTCGGAATACCAACATGCATTCCCGCCTGCTACGGCATGATCGGCGTGGTAAAACGGAAAGGATGGGAGTTTGCATCTACTGAAAGATTGCGAGGCCGCATGATAAGTGTTGATGACGCGAAGAGAGGCCGGGAGCTGCGCACGTCTGTGTATCGTAATGTTGGAAATTCGGAGATTTTTGGACTGATGGACACATATTTCACTGATTTGTGTAAGTCTCAAGACGTGTTCAAAGCGTGTGGCGACGAATCTTACCATCTCCAGTCATGTGTTCAACTGTTGTTACATGGGGATACCTCTTAGCCAGGGCAAACGAGAAGCTTTTCCAGATACACGAGTCACACCTTGTGGTCGCGGCCACCATCATGGCTCTTGGCGCGACGCGACAGACAAAGAGTCACATCAAAGCAACCTTAGGTTTGGGAAGCTCCGTGCAAAGCGTGAAAGCTGTGATGAACGTTGTCGGGCAGATCTCGGATTGGGCTGATCGTCCACTGGTCGACTTCGACGTCGACGAATTAGCCGGTCAGGTTCAGCAAGGTGTCGGCAGATGAACCCTTTGTCTCCCATAGTACTATGATCATGGAAGACGTAGTGGGGGAAGACCATGTCCTGGACATGGTAGGTTCGTTCTGTGATGGCTTGCTAAAGAAGCTGAAGCCACCATTTCCTCTGGTCCTTCATGGGATGACATAGTCAGGAATAGGACCAGAACATACAATACACCATTGCACCAGATAAAGGGCAATGCTCCATACAAAACCCCAAGTCACGGCGCAGAGAAGGCCCAGAACCTGCTCAGTCGTGGATGTTTCCGTTTCCTCCCCGAAGGTACAGCAGTGACCTTTGTCTCAACTGTGTCAGTGTCATTTGGTTAAAGGGCTGTGACTAGCAAAGTTGCTGATAGGGGACAAGGTGTGGGCTGACTTTGCGTTCGACCTCAAGTGATGATGTTGCTGCTACCCTCTAACAGAAAGAGCTGGAGCAGCTGATCTGTCGTCCGTCCGTTGGGATACTATGCGGCAACTGGTACAGTATTGCGGCCGCACCTCTACTCCACTCGTGGGGGGGAGGTTGGTGCCTGTGCCACATTCCAGCTTGCTAGTCGGGGGATGCCCACCTGGAGATGCCTAGAGGCTGGCACCTAGAGACCGATCTTTGGGCACTTTTGGTACTTGTAGAGTAGTGGTGTAGGGGCGAAATATAGGCGGAATATAGTTCCCCTATGGGCGAAATACCAAGCAATTAGGTACTCGCTACTGTACTGATTGCCTCCCCCTGGCAGGCGCCGAGCATCCCCGCATTTTCTCCAGATTGGCTTCTGCTTTCTGCTTTCTGCTTTCTGCTTTCTTCCCCTCAACTTTCTTGAACAGCTCAAAGTGTCCAAACAACTCAAGTCCTTTCCAAAGTCCGTACATCAAACTCCATGCCTTCAGCATGTCCTTTTGCACCTACTGTGGGCGATCCTTCGCCCGGAATGAACACCTCCAGCGCCATATTCTGACCCGTATGTTTTGGTTCCCAAGATCTTGCAGCGATCAGCTACAGCCGTGCCAGTCTCTCCTTACACAGCTCAAAGCTGACTGATCCAGATACCAAAATCCTTCCCTTCAAATGCCGCATCTGTAATCTTTCCTTCGCCAGACGGTAACGCCCACCTCTCGACCTGGTGGTCGTATATTCCCTTGGCTAACCTTGTGATGTGGGGTTACTGCAGCGATGTGATACAGAAACACTATAAGTCCCACACGCCACAAGAGATGGAAAGACTGCAAGCTACTTCTAGCGAGCCATCGTCGGCAGAGTACACAGTTGGCAAGCCAATGGAGAAGCCCCGGACCGCCCTCGCTTGCATTAATTGCGCCAAGAGCAAAACCAGGTGTGACCATCAGCGCCCCTGCAGTCGTTGTCAATCGAAAGGAGTCGAGTGTATCCCCAGGATGCCGCAACATAATCGCAACTCGTTGTCCTCACAAGCCTCACAAGCTGCGAGCGAGTCACAGCGACCACCTAACCCCGGCGTGGGCCTGGTCACGGACAGAATCAATTCATCGGACCATGCGCAGGATATCAACAATACTGCACAGCCAGAACCAACCCTGAACGATTCAGCACCCCCTGACGGAGAACAAGCGGCACAGACACCAGATCCCTCTGTGGAGTTTGCCGTCACAAGCCACGACAGCGACGCTGTCGAAATTGCGACGGAGCGCGATCAGAATCCTAGTCCCATCAATGATCCGCGCTCTTTTGGTGCCGGAGTCGGGCTCACGATCGCGAACAACCTCCGCCCACCTGAGTCTACTGGCTTAGAGACCACCGACGAAAACCCAAACCAGTCGTGGAACCCGCCGCTCGGATATAACGACGCTATGGAATTGGACAATTACTCTGCAGACAATTTTTCCAACTTTGACTTCGAAGGCTCTGGCCTGGAGGCGAATCTCTTCGCCTTGGATAGTGCCATGAACTCTTATTACGAGTTCCCCACGAGCGTCTTCAACACCACTTCTACGACTAACGTTTTCGACTTTGCACACACAAATGGGATGTGCGATGCCTCATTAGAGCCCCAAGTCACTCCCGAGGCCGACACGGGACCACAGAATGGTTCGCGGAAGCACCCTGAAATAATGGCGGAACTGCCTCATTGGAACATTTGTAGATGCACTCCAGCCCAATCTGCCACAATCCCCAAAGATCTCGAACCTGAGGCGTTCAGTCCTTCGCAACTCTTCGGCATGAGTGGTTCATGGAGTGACTCGATCGAAAAATGGAGAGAGCGTACCTTTAAAAGTGACGAGCACATTACTCAGGTGGATCTGACAGAAGAAACACGAGAATGGATGTTGGTGATACTCCAAAGCTTGTTGCAATTGAGTCCCGACTTCCACGTTTTGAAACCTAGTTTTCGCTCTTCACTCTCTTCGTCGACCTCGAACGTGGATGGTGGACAACGACCGTCAAATTCATTCATGCTTCTTCCTCCAAATGGGTCTTTGAGAAGATATCTGGAAATTTATCTCACCAGCTTCGAGCCCTTTCTCCCCTCGATTCCAGCCCTGTCACTTAATCCAAATAAACTTGCTACTAGCAGCAATGAGCGCGGGGCCACCGTGCTTTTGTTGCTCATGGTAGCCCTCGGAGCCATGCTAGATCCCGCGATTAAAGCCAGACATTTCTCCAAAGTGCTATTTGAGCTGTGTCGACACACAATACTGGACACGATCGCGAAGGATGATGGCACTTCCAGGCAAACTCTTACGCTTCACTGTGCTCTACTATTCGTCGTCGGAGCAGCTTTCAGTGGTAAGCGTCTGCACATGAATATTGCTACATGTCAAAGGCACATGTTCTTAGAGGTAGGCCCGTTGATTATTTTGGCGCCTTGTCTTTCTATGCTTCGGCTGGGAACATTACCACCTTGACATTTATTCTCTCTTCCTTTTCCAAGATCTGATACAATCCAAATTGATACGGTTATCTAGACTGTGAAATATGCCCACTTCTTCCAGCAAACACCCGCCATGGATTTCTTGCTGGATGGTTCAATCGAAAACCTTGACGTCGCATGGCAAAGGTGGATTGATCGAGAAAATGCCTCCAGGTCCGTGGACAAAAGCTGTCCTGCAGTGCTCTTGTGACTAATTTCGTTTTCAGGCTGGCTTATTTGTGGATCATTGCCGATCATGAAATCAGCCTCTTCTATGACACCTCTACCCGTATTAGCACTTCCGAGCTCGAAGTTGCCCTCCCTTCTTCAGAACGTCTGTGGCTTGCACCTAATGCAATCGAGTGGAAGAAGATCTTAATCGTGCTAGCTCAACAAGAAGGCAAATCTGCTAGCGATTATTTGCGCACCCCTCGTCTCGGACTCGACAAGTTGTTTGTTCTCTTGCTAAGCGATCAGCTTGATGCCACAGGTTGCGATCTGCAGCCTCTGCATCTGCGACTTCTCTTGTGTCCAATTCAAGATCTGGTCACCCAACTGCGTCAATTGTTGATCTGCCTTCCTAGAGATATCAGTGCATTGTCCTTCACCGCAGCAGACTCGCTAGCTTCGTCGGCCTTGCGGATATCTGAAATCAGAAATCTGCTCCGTCGCTGGCACAATCTCTGTCGTCAAGTGCAACCGGGCGGTGTCCGTGAAGAGGCTTTGATGCAGTCCACATGGATTGTTTATCACCTGATCAGCTTAAATCTTTTAGTTTCGTTCCGCGAACTCGAGAGCTTTTCCCGAGGGGAGAGCTCTGGCCCTGATATCATGACCCAATTCCGAAGAGAGTGGATTCATGAACCAGAGCAAACCATTTTTCACTGCGGACAAATCCTTCGGGTACTGCGCGGCATTGACGTCAAGTTGCGCCCAATCTGGTGGAGTGCCAGTGTCTATCGTGTAACAATCATCTTGTGGAGTCTTTGCATCGGCAGGAGAAACCCCGGCACGATGCAAGATGAGCCAGAGGCCCAGCGCGATCTCCAAACGCTGGTCATGGTTGACAGCCTTGTACCCGACGATCCTAAGTTACAGCACTTTCTACGAACCAAAAAAGGAAATCCATGCCTTGACCTGGGTAAGGACAAGTGCATCTCTGTATATGGTGAACCTCGCTTAGTTCATCAAGCATGTGTTGGAGCCCTCGAGGGAGGTCCTCGAACCTCAAGGTTTACCGAGGGTATTCAAGCAAAGCTTGAGACGATGGGTAAGCTGTGGGACAGGGTCAACAATATAAAGGCTCCATCCCTGTAGGTCCTGTACGATCAGAGAGTTCGCTACTGGCATTTCTCATAAAGACATTTGAGCTTTTCTGTTTCGCAATGATCGAAACCCGTGGCGTAGAGTAGTTTGTTGATTGTCGATCCTCAAAGTCGGCTTTTCTGCTTTTGACAGCTACGTGCTCTTTTTAGGTATCCTGCTGGATTCCGCAGGATCGCTCCGGTCCCCGGAACCGCAATGTGTCACTTTTTTGGTACCTCAAATTTGAATGGGTTCGACGTCGGCTCCATGTCACTTCAACTAGCATACATCTACAGTGAGATCCGACTTCCCAATCACCATCCATCGAATTCCATGCAGATTCTTGGAGGGAACAGGACTTTGCTTCAAAACGGGGAAATGCAAAAGCCGAAGTTTATTCCTCGGAATGCACGACACAAGCAGCCTCAGGACTTCAACGGTTGTCGAGCAACGCTGATTTTCGCAAAGAATGGGGGTTTCTGGTCGCGTGTTTCATCGATGGGACAATAGCCTCGTCCGGCCACACTCCACCCCTTGGACCGGCCTGCGGAGGAGCAGGCTCGGTACCCCAAACCGATGTCCCAGGGTTCTCAGAAAACAGTGGTACCATGTGAAGTTTCCAAAAAAGGTCATCCAATGCTCCCTTTCAAGCAACAACAATTCATCGAAAATTTAGCCAGGCGCGTATTCTGTTCCCAAATAAAGAAATTCATTCTATGATTTCGAAAATGGGATCTTATAGTAGCGACATCACAACGCCAAAGGGGGAAACGCTGCCTCCACGATTGGAGGAAGTTCCCGTCCTTGTAGTTGGTGCCGGCCCAACTGGCCTTCTTGGTGCGGTGCTTTTGAGGAAATTAGGAGGTATAGTCCACTTGTTATGTTTGTCGTGGCTGAGGCTGACCGTAGTTGGCAGTGAGATGCATTGTTATCGAAAGGCACTTTGAGCGTCTCACGGCTCCTAAAGCGCACGCCGTTGGGCCAAGGGCTTTAGAAATTTTCAGACAAGCCGGTGTAGACATCCCTGAGCTGAGGAGACGAGGGACAAAAAGATTGGAAGGAAGCTTTGTCAGCGTCGTCACCAGCCTGGCAGGTGAAGAGCTGAGAAAATTTCCATACGAGCGAACTGACGCTGAAGTACTTGACCTCACTCCAGAGATGTTACACAACGTGCCACAACCGATGACTGAGCAGATTCTCACAGAACAGTTAGGATCGGCAGTGGAGATTAGGAAGGGTCATAGCTACGTCAGCTGCGTCAATACTGCATCACATGTGGACACGATCATCGAAGACCGAACGACAGGGGAATTGTATACGATTCGATCAAAACACGTGCTCGCTTGCGACGGCGCAAGAAGCAAGGTTCGACAGTCGCTTGACATTGAAGTTGTCGGTGAAACCACGACAGAAATGCTCATGACCATAGAGATAAGTTGTGATCTCCGAGGCCTCGTGAAGGACCGGCGCAGAATTCTTTACAATATCTTTGACCCGGTAGCGCATGGAGTTCTGATCGCTTATGACTTGGCTCAAAAGCAAGTTCTCATCCACAATTTCGACCCCAAGGCACAACCTCTGGACGGTTGGAACGAAAAAGTTTGCAGGCATCTCGTGGAGATCGCATTCGGTGCCAAAGTCCCCTTCGCCATCGACAGTTTCCGGCCATGGGAGTTGCAACGCAAGATTGCTTTGACCTATCGGCACGGAAACTGTTTCTTGGTAGGAGATGCAGCCCACTCTTTCCCACCCAGTGCAGGGATCGGGCTGAACACCGGTTTTGGAGACATCCACAACCTTGCTTACAAGATCGCTGCAGTGCATCATAACTGGGCCACAGGCGCTATACTGGACAGTTATACAGCGGAGCGCAGGCCGGTGGCAAATGCCAATTCAGAGCAGAGCGTTGCTAATGGTCTGAGACTGCACGGCTTGATACGAAAGCTGAGCTTGAACAAAGGGGACCCGACCGAGGCCAGACAGCGCGTGAAGAGCCTTTTGCGCAACCAAGACAAAGATCACGATGATCATGGCGCCTCGAGTCATTTGGATGCCTTGTCATCGAACTTCAACAATGTAAGTTACCGTACTTCCAGATCAAACCCTGTAGCGACTCTTGATCCGTTCGATCCTGAACCGGCCACATTTTGGTCGAGAGTTAGAAAGGTGGTCGTCACTAACTCTCAGCGCTATTAGCTCGAACTACACCTCGGTTACGTCTATGGTCACCCAGGTCTTTGCAAAATCGCATCCAGTTTCCAGGCCAAATTCCTTCCGGGTGCTCGATTGCCACACGTATGGATCCGGCCATTGAATGACGAAGTCGTGAGCGGCATTCTTCCGGTCAATCTTGACCACGTTCACGAGTTATCAGTCAGCGAGAAAGCCTTACGGCGGTATTCCACACTGGACCTCTGCCGGCTCGAGAATTTCACGGTCATCACCAATTCATCGACAACGGTACATTTGAGGACACCCGAGTGGCCGGAGCCTCAACGAGCGAAAAACAACCTTCCGCCTGTGCGTGTCGTATATCTGAATAGGGATTTCGACCTTGTGTTTCCGGCGAAGGATAAACCGTGGTTGGAGAAGTTTTACCTAGGCAATGGTCAGCGAGGAGCCGTCCTTGTCCGACCAGACCAACACATCTTGAGAGTTTGGGAGGAGCTTCCGTCCGCAATAGAGCTTGAACGGACTCTACTGTCTGGGTGGGGATTTTAGTAGCTGCCAAATGCTGGCGAATGTGCGCGTGCAACGCATCTTGCATTCGTACACTTGCGACACGGAATGCTCAAAGTAGATTCAGATGAAGAGATGTCGCTCTCGGAGATCGATCGATCGAAATTGAACTCAACAAACCCCCCTCTTAAGCCCCCGAAATCTTCGTTCGGATAAAAAGAATCTGCGTGCGCTTAAACTGCCTCTCTTCATTCGCTGTCTTCTAGCGAAACAACCAAAGAGACAGCTCCCCTCCCGGCTCTGTTCGTACTGGTCTCGCTGCAAGGGCGTTGCGACGTAACCATCGGTGTAGAATTTCGACAGACAACACTGAATACAATGTCGGCTTTGGAGTCTGTCTCTCGCGACCTTGGGGGACTAATTTGGGAGCCTGATCATCCCGAAAAAAACACAATTCTTCTGCGTCGAGTGATTCCTGTCAGCATCGCTGGGAACACATGTTCAACAACGTGAGAATTTTCTGCTGAAGGGACGATTTGGATCACGTTGGTGTACCAACCCCTAAAAACAGTTTACGAGTTTTGATTCCCCTACACAGGACAGAAGAAAAATGTGTTAAACCTCCATGGTTATCTACTCTCCGGCTTTAGACTTCTGAATACCTCGCCATAAAAGAGCGCTTGACATTACCGTTCTTTGCTACACCTTTTCCAAATCCTCACATTCGACATGTGGAAGAGGTCATCCGTTTCAGGAATTAGAGAAGGGAGCTAGTACTTGGTATCGTCCTAAGAAGTTGTATTCTTGTAACTCCAAACAATGGTGAAGGAAACCAACGAATGGCCCTGAATTTCTTTTGGGCTGCAATTGATGCCGACATGACATCCAGAAGAAAAGCAGATTTGTTTACCACTCCCTACATGTTCTCACCGAAGAATTTCTTGCATGTCTGACCAATGTCCGTTCCTAAATACTCAAGACCGCGCGTTGAACGTTTAGCTGGCTTAGGGAAGCGTACTGCCCACCCAGAGATTCTACATCATACTATTGGAGATTTTGAAATGCTCTCCTCAACAGCTCAATGGCCTTCTTTCTGTCAAGAGTTTTTAAAGGGTGTGAAGCTTCAATCAATCATGACACCACTTCCTCTGCTGCGGGTGTGAATTGTAACCAGCACTTATTTTGCGACTTGCCCGTGATCCCATCTCTCATCAAGATGCTTGCGGTGAAGACATCTCGCATTTCGAGTATGTCTTCTCCTCTACCTTCGGGCACCACTGATTTGAACTGGCGGAAGATGGCAGCCAGAAAGTATTTCAACTCCGTCATGCCAAGATTCTGACCAGGGCAGCTGCGGGATCCGTGACCGAAGGGGATCCAGTTTTTCTTCATTGCAGCATCTGCATTTAACCAGCGTGCTGGCCGAAAAGCTTCAGCATTGGGAAAAATGTCTTCCCGTCGACCCTGATCATAAGCAGCACTGGATGCAATGGTTCCCGGAGGAACGGTGACGCCGTTCACGGTAATGCTCTGTCCCAGATGGCGTTCAAGGGGTCCTGGGACTATAGGCCATAGCCGCATGACTTCAAAGATAACGCAGTCGAGGTACTTGAGGTTCAGACATTGTTTCATATCAATTTGATTGTGATTGGGAAATGCTTTACGAAGCTCCTGTCGCAGTTCGTTCTGCACATCTTGATGGCGGGCGAGCACCCAACAAGCAATGGCGGCGGTGTTTGAGGTTGTTGAAGAACCTGCGGCCATCATCTCCACTATATACGCTGGAATATGTTCTGGGTCAATCGACTGTGAAGCGTTCTGCTTTGAATTCAATGCTAGCAGCATAGAGAGGACGTCCTTTTCGTGACCTTTCGTCTCCCTATTGTTCCATTTCTGAAGGGCATTCCGAGCAAATGCATCGAGATCGTAACAATCGTTACGCATGTTTCTATATTTCTTGGTCCCGATCATTTTGGTCCAAGTTTCGAAGAATGGGATAAATCCCTTTAGAGCCATGTATTGACTGAAATGATGAAACTTGCGTAATAAGTCCGACTTGACATCGTCCATGTCGGCGAGAAGGTTGTGCTCTTCGCCCCACAAGACATCAGTGACGGTGTCTAGCGTCAGGAGCCTGAACCAAAGCACACCCTCGATAATGGGGTCAGTTTGTGTCGACCTGTCTTGTAGCAGTTGTAAGAAGGTTGCAATATGCGATTCCATCACATCTGCAAGGCTAGCCAAGTTTTTACTCTGAAAACACTGCAGAAGATTTTGGCGCGCCATTGATGCACTAGAGTAATCAATGGTACCCAGTATCTGTCTGACACCCTTGTAGGAGCCCATGCCGTGATAAAAAGAGCTTTTGATCGAACTCCGATCGTAAATAGCCTTCATGGCGACATCGTCGGTAGTGTGTACTTGATCTGGAGCGATGACTACAATTGGTCCATACTTCTGGATAAGCGCATGTGCATACGCGGCTCGTCTTGTTCGAAAAGTTGCGGCGTACAGCGGAAACGGCGTAACTCTCGACCAGAAAGGGCCAGGAACATGGCGGACTGGAGAAAAAAAATACGCACGACCGACCTAGAATTTGGAGATTTCAGTCGAGGACAAAGATCTCAGAGCAGGAACATACATTGTAGAGCAGATAAACTACAATGAGCAGCAGCGTCCCTTGGAGCACTGACACTGGCTTGAGTTGGAGCTCGGACTGTGGTGAAATGAACATTTTGGAAGCTCTCACAGTCATCACAGGCCTTAATGCGGTCTCGCACTAGCAAAATCATTCTCTAGATTTGCAAGCTGTAGAAACATTTTATCACCTCAGACAAGAAAGGCGATTTCTCATCTTACGCGACGAAGGAACAAGGCGGACACTGTACTGCACTGTAGATTCGAGGTGATGGGCCCCGACCCGGCTACCCCACGGGATGGGGAAGCTCCGAAAGAGTACTATCACAGCCTCGGCCCCGCTTCCTTTTCCCGAACGGACGAAACCCTGACTCCGCTGATGGCTTTGTTGGGGACAGTGCTGGGCACAGCAAGCCCATTTTCCTTCAGAGCGAAGCAATCCTGTATCTCTTGCTGGTAGCCTTGACAGGGCTCGAGAATACACAACATTTGACGTTCACGCTGTCAAACTCCAACCTGTCATTTGCTGGGATTTGGCACAACAGCGAACTGGATCATCGCCCACTTGGTTTGCGCTTGCTGCAGCTCGAACGCACACGTGGTCCACATCAAGGAATAAAAAGGATAAGGATTTGTAGGAGGGTCGCCCTCATCTTTTAGATCAATCTCTTCCATTTGGTAGTGAAACACATCACACGGAAATAGGTACGGACCTTTGGCGCTTAGACTTGGACATCTTCGGTAGTGTGTACAACGAGTAGATTGGAGAGCCTCCAGGTATTGAACCCTGCCACGCTTGTATGACCAACTTAATCACAAACAGATGTTGACAATGTGTACTTTGTGAATGTTGAACAAGGAGTGTGAGACATTAGAATTTGGTGGAATTGGCACACTGGCACACTGGCACACTGATCGAACAAGACTAGCGAATCGAATACATATGTAGTGCTGCTTTATTGCGTCGACAGCCAACAGGGTTTCGCAACGGTCATTGGATTATTGCGAATTAGTGGTCTGACTCAGTTGTGCTCTTCAAATGGCACGACATTTCAAGCTTGAAACAGCTGCATCGAAAACCGTGGTTAGAGAAGGTTGATGTTAGCCTGCTTCAAATGCCGCAACGCTTTAGCCGGGTGCATTCTTGCTAGAAGAATAACATCTTGATAGCCTCTTGCTAGTTGCTACTTTACGACTCGGCTTCGATGCAGATAATGCCACAGCGATTGGTTCCACCTCTTGTTAAGCAGGATTGCTTCAACGCTCTGACGGCCGATCAGTAAGTGTAGCGGAAAGATGGATGGTCATCACCCAGGTTTCTCAACTCCTCATCTGGCAATTGCAACAAGTAGTCTCTTTCTCCCCTGTCGCGCCTCTTGTTCTCCAAATGGATTAACAAAAGGAACCCTGCGGTCGCAGACAGTCCTAGACAAAGTGCCCCAATGCCCACAGAGTAGCCAGTGTGGTAAAAGGGAGACTCGTGTCTCAAGAAGACATTACTTGCAACAATGCCACCTGTGTTCCCAAGACCTATCTGCATACCGGCAGCAACGGCTCGTTTAAAGTGTCCTCCCATGTTGTTGTTCAGCCAAACAATGGACAAGGACATTGCGGTGTTTGTTGCTGTGGCTGCGAAAAAGATAGCCATGTACCGCACTCCAACCGACACACTGAAGGCATTGATCAGAATGATCCAAGCGACAAGTCCCATTGAAAGCCAGCCAGCTATAAATGCACATCGATGTCGTACACGATCGGAGACGAATGCGGTGACCACACACATTACAGCTGCAACAATGTAAACAGGGATCGTCATAACCTGGGTGCGTAGTGGCGACCAGCCAAAGTCATGGAGAATGGTCGGAATGAACAAGGCCATCGCGTAGGCGGTTGTCGTGCAGGCGAAATATATGAGGAAGCTGGTAAGAGCAATGGATGTTAGCTTTTGGACGAGTCACGTCGACAGCGAGCAGATTACTGCGATCCTTATGAGTGTAGGTTACATACCCAAGGTAGATCTTGAGATCTGAGAAGACTCGTTTAGCGGCTTTTCGATTGACAGTGCTCATCTGCGCATCGCCACTGTCTTCAGCCAATCTAGACAAGAGCAGCTTTTTCTCTGAGGGTTCGAGGAATGTCGAGGTCTCGGGCCAGTCCGGAATGAGAAAATGTGAGACTATGGCTAGCATAACAGTGGCAACTCCTTCGAGTATGAAAACCCAACTCCAAGGGTTGTAGCCTCGAATGCCACCCATATGGCCAATGGCATAGGCGAGCAACTGCAGTAGTCATCAGTCTTTGTATCCCCTGAAAGAGCAAGGGAGACCGGATACGCACGCCACTAAAAGCACCTGCCAGTATGGCGGCCGAAAAGAAGAAGTTTACACGGACTTGAAGTTCATGCCGTTTGTAGTACATTGAAATCAGATATATCGCACCTAGTTTCCTCTGAAATCAGACCGAGGGAATGCGCCTGTCGGTCAATATCACGACTCACCAGGAAAGTATCCTGCCTCGAATACTCCAATCAAAAAGCGACATATCACCAAGCCAGCGTAGCTCTGCGTAAAGCCTTGACACATTGTGATGGTACCTGGCAAACTCATCGTCAGAAATTGCTAGGCGCAGACATGTAACATTCGTCATCCTTACCGAAGCCTAAAATCAGGCTGGGCAACCAGTACGATGGCCTCATCTTCTTCAAAATGAGGTTTGCTGGTACCTCTAGGAGTACATATGGGATGAAAAATACGAAGAGAGCAATATTATACTGATTTCCCTCCAGCTTAAGATCTGCTTCTAGGCCAAGGAGTCGAGCGTTCCCGATGTTGACACGATCGATAAACGAGGCCATCAAAAGCACAAAAAGTGGTGGAATGAGCTTGACATCCAACTTGCGCAGCAATTTCTTCTCCAGCTCACGGTCAGCAGTTTCAACTAGCGGCGCAGGCTGGTCCATGCTGGTTTCGATTTGGTCGACTGCATCCTTTTCACTCATGGCGGACGTTTGCACTGTGCGAATGATAAAGGCAATGTTAGGCTCGTGACGGCAAGGAGAGAAGGGTACAGATGATGTGTCCGTTGTCTGAGGGTACAAAGCAGCACGTATATATACATCTATCCCCGACGAACCTTCCGAGCGAATTCTTGCAACATCATCGGAATTTCCTGGGGTGCCGTGGAGCCGCGTTCGGCACGCCGGGAGCTCTCCCCACGGGGACTCTCATTCGATATCACTAAGATATTGACTGACGAGAGCTACCAACCATACAACTAGCTGTACGCGACAAGCGCGGAGGAGATTGCTGTGAGCATTTTGTCATGTTACTTGTCAGTCGATCTAAGAATGACGGTCTATCGCGACAGTTGGGTAGGGGAGTGTACCTGTTCGCGTCCATACTCAAAGGGTGGCTAAAGCCGAATGGCTTCTAATTAGTCCATACCCCAGCAACTGCGTCTATTTACCAATTTGGCCGGGCCAGGTATGAAATATAGTATCATGCACCCCATCCTGGAAGCGTCAGTGCCAGTAGTAAATGCAACCAAAATGCGCTCCACTAATAGGGATGCCTGTGGCATCAGTCAGTGAGGCGCACCCGTTCCCAGCACAGCTGGAAATATCTCTGGGTGGCGAACTAATAGTGCACTAGGCAGAATTTGTACCCGATAGGCACTCCAGGTATGAATCTGGTACTCTAAAGGCCTGTAAACCTCATTGTCGCTATGGATGTTAATGTTGACGGTGTCGTTGTGTTGTTGTATGGAAAAATGTTAATTGGGTACCAGCCACCGCCTCATGCACGTCGTCGCAGCTCAGCCACTTACCCAGCCTGCCACAAAATCTATTGATTGTTCACCCTGGCAATAAGTGAATAGACCCCGTAGAATACGGAATTACCGTATTCTGTGGTGGCGCCAGTGAGCCTAGAATGGCGAGGGAAAAATTCAGGAATAGATCCCATTCGTGCTCAGACCCGAACATACTCCTACTGCTCTTCATTTCAAATGCAGCTCGGTGTAGACGCTATGCATGCCAGGAGCCCGGCTAGTCTTGCTTATCATCCCGCCCAACGTATTGACCATATCTATGACCTTAATCATGGGTGATTGGATCTCCCGCATATGGAGATGCCGGCCTTGATGGAGAAGAGATTATGATTCAATAAAGGATGTTGACTTCAGCGGCTAAAAAGGACTAACCTTTCTGGTTAATCTACCTAGCCTTCTTGAACTAGTGACTGCCACTATTACGCCGTGAAATTCGACTGCAACTTCTTTCAAAGCTACAGTGGCGAGACTAGTACTCGAGACTATGACGAGGGCTCCACGAGGGCACTCTGGCTGTTGCCAGAATTGAATACTAATGGGATCGTGAAAAAGGACAGAGAAGCGAACAATACATAGCAAGATGCACCTCCTCCATTCATACTTAAGTAGCGTTCTCAGTGAATACAGTACATGTCTGGGTGGACTGATATTGCTACGTGTGTAGCTTGCAAAGCTCCTCCTCGTCTGTGGGATAGTGCTGTGTGGTTTTAGTTCCGGGGCTCTGGGGATGGCATCCGCAGATTATCCTAGTCACGAACACACAAATCAAGGATGGTGGATTATACCCGTACTATTGACGGAGCTCTTCTGCCCTTCTCAAGAACGTGCGGTACACAAGTCGCAGAGACGGGACTAAATTTCTGTGTTCGTGATCCAGTAAATAAGTCCACTGACCAGGATGGTGACATTGATAGAAAGTCTCCTTTAACCATAGCACTCCTCCAATCGCTGACCAGCCACAGTAATCGGCTCGGCAGCTTGCATCACAAATAACATTCGCACCCATTCATCCTTGTGATGTGGCTTCCATTCGTGTATGGTGCCTCGTTGGACGGCAATATCCCCCTTGTTCAAAATAGTGATAAAGCCATCATCAAGATGCATTTCGATAGTTCCTTCAAGTACAACACCGAAATCCAAGGTGTGTGTGCGATGCATGAAGGCGTGAGCTGCTGGACCGAAGTCCACGATCTGGCAAATAGTGCCATCTGGGTAGGTCAGACCGTGTTCAACCGTTTGACTGACTTTTTGGTGTGCGGCGATGTCAGCATCGCCGGTCATCTTGACGGGCAATCCAGTGGTTGTGTACACGACACTCTTGCCGAAGGCGTGACCTTGAAACGTCCATTCGTGTTGACTAGACGATCGGATCACTGCTTTCCCAGTTGATGCGTCATGCGTGGTGACGTGAATAGTTGGATTAGGCAGCTTAGAACGCAACTCATTTTCCCTCTCGGTGGCACAGGGTCTATCCGACATAATTACTAGTTGGTTTGAGAACAGTCGAAAACCCTTAGTGAAGTGACGTGGATCTGGATGTGGCAGCTGTGACAAAGTTTCGTAATGACAGGATCCAAGTCGTGCTTGCTCTGTGGAAGGAGGAGTCCGAATGAATACTTGCCTCTGGGGGAGAAGGGTTTTGGTGAATGATTTCTATGTAGGTGGTTATTTGAGTACAAAAATCTGGGAATTGAATAATGTAGAACTCCGATAAATGAGTTTCTCGGAGGAACTGAAGAAGTACTCCGCTATTGTATATCTGTCGGCCTATCCAGTTGGGAAGATGCACTCAAACTCTCCGGATCTGTCTCGGATTCCCCACAGCCACAATGCTCTGACTGTGCAGAGTGTATCTTCTTGATACGACGGAGCGGATTTGACAGTAATTCTGCAACACAACGTCGCTCTTATTCCTTAGTCTCTCTATCTTGCGCTTTTAGTTGCTCTTTGTATTCCCACTTGCCCCTAGGATTCCCGTTTCTTCCTTGACAGACCTCACCTTCCCTCCCATGCATAATCAGCAAAAACTGCAAGGCAAACTTGATCTTGTTTGGAATTCTTTTGTCAAGGTGATCCTGCGCCGCCTCTCTGCTCGTTTTATCCGGTCTCCAACCGCACAATCCAGTGACCGCGATAGATGTGCGTGTCAACTGCGAAAGTTTCCCTCTGCAAGCAGATGCTCATAACGCAAAAGGCGGATGTTGGTCCAACTCCCTTGTAGCTAATCAGTTCTCTCATAGCATCTTCATCAGAACAATCGAAGAGGTGATTTAAGTCCCATACCCCGTGTCGTGCGTGCACGTCTTTGATTATACCAAGAAGCATTTTCGCCTTGCGATTCTACATTCCTCCAGGTCTCAACGCTGTAATTAGTTGCTCTTCGCCGCCATCCAGGATCTTTTGGCAGGCGAACGCCGAGCCATATGTTGTGGCCATACTCATCATCGCACGCTATGGGTTCGCCCAGCTCGTAGCCTGGCTTGGCGTAGCAATAACCAAGGCATTCGGAATGGTTCGGGGGATGATGTATCGCATAATGTTCGTACAACATAATGTTCGGTTAAACCACGGCCCTAGTAATTTATATAAGCCTCGGTTAGGCTCACCATCTTATTTCATGAATCCTGTACGTCTCGTATCGCTTGCAACTAACCTCGTCGGCGCTAACTACGCAAGGCTAAGTTTATATAGAAATCCTTAGTATTAATAACGCTCCTACGCCTAGGCTACCTCGTCACCGCCCGTATACGTGCCTAACCTCGCTATCGGTCCTACGATTTAGGTAGGTATCCCTATTCCCGTGCCTTATTATTTTAGCTATATAAAGTCTCCGTCTCTTACTTCTTCTAAGCGCTCCTAGCGCTATAGAAGGCGGAGGTTTAAACAACGTAGGTAACTGTTCGGGTAAAGGTTCTCGGCGCGGCCTAGGTCTCGGTATAGGAGTACGAATCGATAGTAAGGTTATCGCTATTAGAGGGGTATTAGAAATAAGAAGACTATTAGGTATACGATTAGGAGTCTTTTACCTAGTAACTTCTTGTTACGAGGGTCAAGACACGGGTCGTTTAGTGTAGGCACCCTTAGCCTACCGGGGGATGTCTACGGGAAGGTGTACCGACAAGGCTAGGCAAGGCTAGTATACGTAACTAAGAACCGGATTAGGAAATATAGTATTCCTATAGGTCCATGGACTACTAGGATAAGGAGGCATAGATACATAGAAGGGATTTTAACATTATATATATACGCTCCTTTACCTAGATAGTATAGTTCGTAGTTAACTTCGTTAGTAATTCTATACCTACGTTTAGGCTACGCAACGGGTTAGTATTTTTCGTAATCGGGTTAAATAACCCGATTAACTAGTTTACCCTCTTAAAAATTTTTATTTTTATTTTTTAGTATAACTTATTAACTATTTAATATAATTTTTTATACTTCTAAATTATAATATTTAACTCCAAAAACTATCTATTTATTAATTAATAACGCGAAATAACGCGTTAATTACTAAGATATAGTACTTCGCGTAAAGTAGATTTTAAGTTTAGGACGTAATAATCTTAGTAAGCACGTTAAATTTATCGATAAGAAAATATCTATAGTAAAATTAACCCGACCCGATCGGGTTATTAATCGGGTTATTAGTAAATATATACTTATTTAATATATTAAGTATACTAAATAAGAATATATATTCTATATATTTAATATTATTTAAAAAAAAACGCGAAAATCGCGTAAAATACGCGTTAAATTTAAAGTTTTATATTTTCGCGTAAAGTATAATTTTAGACTTTCGGTAAATTACATTTCTTAGTAACCCGTTACGTAGCCTACCTACGTTTTAGGAAATAGTCCGACGATTTAGTATTCCCTTTATTATCTTAGTTAACACTCTAGTACCTACTCTATTAAGGAATCCTACCTTAGTTAGAACTACTTATAGCTTAGATTATAATACTTTAACTACTACTTAATTAATATTAAATATCTAATATAGAATTATTTCGAATTAGATCCCTACTACCTAGCGTACGTCTACTTATAACCTTAAATAATTCTTTAAAGCCTAAGATCGTTTAAGATAGTAGTTCTAACGAAGACTTAGACGTAGATATAGTTAACGTACTAGGACTTATTAATATATCTAGGGATAGTATTAAGGTAGAACTATTCTATAGAAATAGGGAGAAGCTAGGATACTTCCTTATATAACTTAAGACTACCTTTAAGCTTAATCTAACTAAGTATACTAGGATAGAGGATAAGGTTATATTTATAGTAATATACCTTAAAGGAGTAGCGTTCTATTAGTTTAAACTAGTATAAGACGATTACTTCGAGTCCTCTAGTCCCGACGACGAAACTAGAGTATACTTTAGGAACTTTATATAATAATAATAATAATATTATCTATTAATGTCTATTTTAGATCTCCTTACGAAACTACGTAGACGATTTACCTTATATAGGAAAAGGCTCTTTCTTTCGTAGAGTAAAACCTAGGGCTCGTATCGCTAGAAGTATACGTCTCGTACGCTTTCCGCCTCCTTATCGCCGTCGTTAATCGTATAACCTTTTACCTATAATCTAGAGAGGTCTTACTCTTTCTTTTCCTTTCTTCTTCTTTCTACTACTACTCGTAATCCTTAAAGGATACGAATATCTTTATATCTTCCTCTCCTACCTTCTTTACTACTCGGAATTACTCGAGGACTCCGCTCGTAATAAACTAGCGTATCGCGTACGCCGCGTATACGAGCCTCGAGAGAATCTCGTCGAGTCTCTCTATACTATATTATAGTAGAAGTTATACTCTATTATGTTGTAGATAATATAAAAGGATATATTATATCGTCTACGTATACTAGCTATAGTCGTAGCGCGCTACTACTTCGGAGACGTATATCGACGCTAGCTAGGTATTAAGGCTAATAACTTTCGTTCGTATAAATATAAGAACTATCGCTTCTACTTTCGTTAAGTCTATATATAGCTTATACCTATTCTACTCCTAGAGTATACTTTAGGTCGCGAACTAGCGGACTCCTCTAGATTATTTTACTAGGTCTTACTATTTCTATTTCTAGCTATTTCTAGCTATTTAGCCTAGTATAGCCTCGTCTATCTAGGTTTAGCCGCGTTCTACTCGATTATATCTCGCTTATTAGCCGCGGGCGCGTTCCCTAGTCGTCCTAGCCTCGCGAATATTATAGTCGATCTTAGCCTCTAGTACTACCTTCGTCGTAGCTAGCCTCGTCGTCGTCTCGCTTTATAGCTACTTCTAGATCGTTCCGGCTACGTTCTACGTACGTATCGTAACTAAGTTATACCTAGTACGTAGGAGCTTTCTTACTATATACTTCTAGATATAAATCTCGAGTAGAAAGGTATAAGCTTCCTTTTCTAGAGCGGCGATTAATATTTTCTTATAGCCCCCTATAATTTAACGAAGGTATCTATTCTAGACTTTCTTAAAGAATTTAAGCCTAGACTTTAATAGTACTTTTACTATAATTCGCGTACTCTATTCTTATAACTCGTATAAAAGCGTTAGCCTTATTATTACTATATAAAGTAGCCTTATATTCCTTACTAAGAAGCTCTAGGTCGTCGTTATAATTCTAGATAGCGCTTTCGAGGCTACGAAGCCCTTACGAACCGCTTATATAATATATTCCTTCTATAAGAGCTTTAGGTCTAGCTAGACTTCGAGAATTCGAATAGTTTTTATTTCTAGCTAGATTTCGTAATTTCTAATATAAATACTATATATATACGCGTCGCGCGCTCTTCGCTTACGCGTAAAGTAGATAAGTTAATATTTATTCGAAGCGAATTTTATTTCGTAATAGTCTACTTATCTTTTATACTATATATAAACGACGCTTAGTCTACGATAGTTATTCTCCTCGCTTACGCCCTAGGTAATAATATTTATATCGTCGACGAAGCCGAATCCTAGAGTATTATTATTTTATATTTATAGCGTTTCTAGTAGTTCTAAGATATAGAATAGAAAGAGAAGCGGCGATAAGGAAGAGCTTTATAGAATATCTATATTTATTTAGATTTAGTTACTTATATACTTCGCGTACGCGATTTCTCCTAGAGGAAGTCTACTATAGTATTAATTAGCTAGTCTAAAAGTTCCTTTATACGTAGTATTCCTAATAGCTTCTCGTAGAGTATATTATCGAATACTTCTACGATATCTAGGCTAAGTATCGATATAATAGCGTCGGATCGCGCCTTCTACGTAGTCTCGACGTATACTATTAATAAGCTAATTATACTTATTATCGATCTATTTCGTCTCGCTCTTATCTAGTTCTATAGTAAGAGCCTATATTCTTCGGCTACGTCTACTAGGCGATTCGTAAGTACTTTTTCTACTACTTTAGCGAGAGTATTTTTAAGAGTAATAGGCCTATAGCTACTCGATAGGCTATAGTCCTTCTTTTCCTCTTTATAAAGGATAATAATAGTAATTTTCTTAAAGCTTAACGATAGTAAGTCGTACGCGAATACTATACTTATCGCGCGCGCTAAGTTTTTCTTAATTATCGAGCTAATTTCTCTAAGGACTTCGTTTAAGATATTATCGAGCCCTAGGGCCTTACTCTTTAAGAGGCTCTAGATTACCGCGTTAACCTCGTTTTCTATTACTTCTAGGAGTATATTAACTACGCGAGTAGAGTATATATCGCCTATTATCGTTATACGTAGCGCTTATAGAAAGAACTTTTCCGTTAGAATTCGTATATATTCGTTATTATCGACTATTACTTTATTCTCTTTCTATCTATATAACGCGAGTATATAGAAGTCTATATACGCTTTACCTACGACGCTCCTACTCTACCTAGAGAACCTCTATAGACCTTAAAGATCGTTCGTAGTTTTCTAGACCTTACGCCTCTAGTTATTCCGCGCGTTCTTACGAAGCTTCTATTTTAGCTAGTTCGAAAGATAGTAGAACTACTAGAAGTCGATTTCGTCTATAGTTACGTTATATATACGTTTCGCGCGCTTCGCGTCTATTAAGAGCTCCGCTACTCGTAGTAACTAGTTTAGGCGCGCTCTTAAGGAGGGTTTCGCCTTAAGATAGTACTTTAGTAGGAAGGCCTTAATTATTTATTATATTTCCTCGAGAATTTTTAGCTCGTCTTCTATTCGAATAGCCTTCTATAGAGCCTAGGCGTTAAGCTTCTTAAGCGCGTATCGTACGCGAAGTAGTTATATAGATTCTACGAGGTCGATATCGATAACTATCTTTATCGATATATAGTTCTACGTTAGCGCCTATTAGTCAACTATACCGTAGTATT